CGCCCGAGGCGAGTAGACTCGAGGGCTTTTCCTGCGAAAAAAGGTGAAGAACAAGATGCAAACGACGCAGTAGATGACGACGGGAATAAATGTTCCACCAAGAGATTGTAGCGATGACGACTTTGAAGCATTGTTGGAGCTGAGAGTACCGCCACTGGAACCATCTCGCGTAGAACCAACCCGAGAGTCATCGCTCTCCTAAAGAAGATAATGGTCAGCCACGTTTAGAGTGGGATTAGAGTTAGAGTTCATGAAAAAGTTTAACTTACAACTGGCAGCTCAAACGATGTTCTCGCGATGAGAGCATGCCAATTGGCGGCCATGTTGGGCTTGGACTGGGCGTGAATCAAATATCAGTGGATAGGTAGAGAGAATGGAGGAGTCAGTTAAGGCTCAGATTAGCTTGGAGATAACGATGAGAATGCGTCGCCGCATCGTTCGTTACCTCGCAACGAAGCTTGAGAGTGTCGAGACCACAGACATGGATGGGATATAGAGGACAAGATCTATCAAGAGGCGGAGATGATTGTGATGAAGTCGTCGAGGTGACGTTGAAAGTGGGATGTTTCTCTTGTGTCTGTGTCTGTGCCCGTTGTCCTTCGGGTATTGATTGAACTGAACAAAAAGTGGGTGGGCTACCTCTGGAAAGACGGCATTGAAGAGGAGCCTAACGTGAGTTAAGAGGAGGCGGCAACGGCACAGGACACGACAGGGAGTCTTGTAGCGATCATTGCGGCGCAGTAAGCCCGATTCTTTTAGGGGACTGGTCTACCTGTCAACCCCATCAACGCCCTGAAGCTTGGGTTCTCAGTGGAGAGGTGCTAGGAGGTATGGGGACTCGAATTTCCTATTCTGTCCTCCTACATCGGCAATCATTTATCGCATCGGGTTCTTGGCGAATTAGCCGATGGTGGCTTCTGTGTGTCTCTGTCTGTCCCAACCGAAGAAATTCGCGATGAAGAGTGAAGGGGGGGAATTTTGAGATTTCGCTGTAAGGGTCTTGATTTGCCATTCTGCAACGAGAGCCAATCAATGCTTTATCGAGTGCTCAGCCAAGGACAGGGGGGTCAGGGTCTAGACCACAGGTTTACGAAATCCCCACGTATTGCAGATCCAAATATCACAAACCCTTGTTTTCAGCTCGGATACTCAGATGACTTTATGGGTCACAAAATGTAGGTCAGTGACGTTATTATCCCGAGTATCCTGCTATAATCAAGGATTGTGGTTTGTGGTGGCTCCTCGGCTACAACGAATCGTGGTGATCGACTCAGAGATTTTCACTCGGATATGCCCGTTTAGGGGGTTCCGCTTATTCGGCCTGTGATCCCGCGGAGACTCTAACACTTCTCACGCCTTGACCCCTGTCGGTTGAGATATAAAGTTTAACCTCAGAGTCGGGTCCTCCGAGTTTGACGACGTTGACACGAATGACATCGGAGGAAAATACGTGATAGGTATAGTTGATCTGTCACTCTGATATGTTATTGCCGGTGAAACATGCAGAAAACTGCCTCCTAGTCCGGTTTAGATCTAACGCCAAGGATAAAACGGTTACGTCGGGGAACTCCGCGGAAATGCCGTGTCAACTGAACCACCGGATTTCCAAGATAGAGTTTTTGACCTCGACCAACAGTTGTGACACAAGATCATTCCTGGAAACTGGTAGAACCTAAGCGATCTTGCAGCCTCAACTGAAATATCACCCGTCCAATAGCGAGCCCAAGTTCCATTACGAACTGCTCACCAGGCTCGGCAATACGGGTCAAGCAAGTCTTGGAGTCCACTACCAGAACAAGTTCTCAGTACCTCCTTTTCATATGCATCCAGGAACAGCAACTGCCCGATTAGGGACCGCCTTGCGAGGTGTGAGAAAAGGCTGAATCAAGGTTTCCGGAATAGGGGTTCCGGGACAGAGACTGACGAGAATGTTCTGACTACGACGCAAACTTGAAAAGCTATGGCCAAGGCACAGGAGTTATCCCTTGTTATTTCTTGCAGTTGATCAGCAGATCAGACGAAGTTTATCGTGCTTGATCTGTGTTTGCTGCAGCCTTGTTGGGCCTGGAATCTGTTGGGGACGAAGTCTTTTGTTCCTGACTAGGGGGAGATGGATATCTATCAGATCATAGACTTGCTTCGCGTCGGTCAGTATCCAGCCGAGAGATATTGTCGTTGTGGGGAGAGATAGTTGCAATATTGAGTAAGATACTTTCATAGTTCCTGAATCTCTTTTGTTGGATTGCTTGCATCACAGTTGCTTTCCGTACAAACGCGGAATAACAAAGCCTCCTTGCCTGGATGTGACCTCCACTTTGTCACTTCCCCCTGAGCTCCTGCATCTCGGAATGGTCTGGCCGAATTTCCTGGCATGTATTACGCGTTCCTTTCTTCTCCTTACATCACCCTCTCAGTCAATTCCTGGACAGCACGCCAAAGAGAGGAGAAGTTTGAAAACTCGAGACAACAACGATTGACGAGGAGATCCTTCAATGAGTTTCTGAACTTGTAGAAGTTGCTGATTAGGTAGCCAAAGATGTCATTGCTTCCGTCCCATGAGGTCAATGACCTCAAGCAATCTGTTGCTTGGAGATCGAGGAAAGAGAAGAGAACTTACGGTTTCGCGTTCCCTACACGTGGGAAGTCCGACTTTTGGAAGAAATTAACTTGATAGGTAAATCAAAAGAAATTCATCATCATCAGCTATTTCGTGATCGTTTATGATTAGTCCCATCACTATCTTTAAAGTTAGACATCATGGCTTCAGCCAAACCCCTCAACATACAGCCTCTCGGTGCCTCGCCACTATCAAACTTTCCACGAACAGCCAATCCGATTCAACACCACGATAAATAAAGCCAGACTTTGAGTTTGGTGCGCCAAATGCGCCCAAGCCCTGATCAAAGGACACATCACCATGTCTAAATACACGTTATCCCCCGCCGCTTGGTCGAACGAGCTTTCTCTCGCCTTCACCACCCCTGACAACTTGAACAATGGAAAACATGAGCTCGCTGGCCTTGCCAGATGAGCCATGGCCGGCCCCGAAGAAAGCCCCATATTCCGAGTTCCTCTGGTTTCCGTTCCTCCACCAAGATGCCAGACTCCTGATCTGGGAGGCAGCACTGCGCCCGCAACCCTGTGAGAACTACAACGCGACACATCGTTTTCGGATACATATCTTCGACAGAAATCCAATGTCTCTTGAGAGGAGTGAAATTGGCCACAAGAGTCCGCCGCTATTTGGATCGCCAGCCCTAAGGGGGCCGGACCGTTTTTACGGTGAGAAGGCGCACGAATCCATGTCGGCTTGCCCTGAAGGACTGAAATCGGTTGTCCATTGGGACTACGGCCTGTGGAAAGCTTGCCATGAGTCTAGGTGGGTGATCAGCCGACGGTTTCGACGGAAATTCTGGGAAGACATGAGAATCACCATGTTGCACGACCGGCAAACAATCCCTCAAGCGATTCGCGAGCCGTACAGGATGGAGGCGGCTTGGCAGAAGAAAACCATGTCGACGGAAAACGACTACCTGAAATGCAAAGACAAATGGTACAGGGACTTCGCGTACGTGGCCAACATAAACGGCATGTACAACAACATTGTTGCGACCCGTCCGGCGAGCGATCTCTTCATCATGGAGGACGACCGATGGATTTTTGATATGCTATACCATCTCACAGACAGAGAACAAGAAGACTACGCGATCAAGCTCTTTCGCCAAAATGCCATCTCCCCAACAAGCGATGGCTCCCCCGTGATGGGAAACATCGGCTTCGTGTACGACTACTCCTTCACTATTGGCATCACGCGACACGACAACCCGACATTGAGGTTATCGGAAGCAAAGACACAGAATAATCGACGGGGCCTTTTCCTGCTCCTGCTACACCTCACCGTAATCCGGACATTGGGGGGAGTGCGACTCTGGCTTATCGACGAGAACTTCATGCCGTGCCGCACATGCAAGACGAAGCAGGAGGCGGAAAAGGAGGCGAAGGAGGGGAAGAGGGATCGGAAAGTGTTCCATCGGTATGGGAAGGAGGATCTGGTCGAGGTTGATATCCAGCCCAACGTGATGTTTGTGGTGGCCGACAATATAAGGTGTATTCTTGGTTCTGCATGCGGATTTCTTGAATACGTGGGTAAGGAGCCTATTTCTCGACCTTTCAACCCAGATCCTAGGAAAACGCCCTTCGACTTTTGGTCCTGTGTTGGTGTTCTAGCGCCGAGGTCGAGGACTACGGATTGAGTGATTGAAGGGGGAGGGGGGTGTTTGGCGTTGAAGGTTCCTCGAGGTGTGGGAGAAAGCGAGGTCTTTGGATCGAAGGGCCAAAGTAAGCTTATAGAAATTTAGTTAAAGCGATACCAGATTGTCCTCAGTTTATCTGAATCTTGTTGTTTCTTGGGCCTGACGTCCCCAGTTTGATGCCATCCAGTAAGGAATCCTCCCATCAAAGCCAAGTCCCCAACGCTACTAAAGAAGACAACCGAAAGAAGAGAGTAAGCAAAGATACAAGTAGATCAGATAGCAGTATACGTTCATGTTTTTAACGGATAGGACGTCTCCTCGCCCATTGAGGCTCAAGTGTTAATGCTGAGTGAAGTGTTGAGAGCCCGCAAGAGATGGTCAAAGAGATCCCGAGATGTGTCTGATGGTGGCCTTAGATAAAAGGCGTCATACGTACTTGAGTGAGAAAGTATTTCCTTGATAGTCCCTGTAAGATATGATCTTTAGCATAGTTCTCAATTTATGTTTGAGTTATGTGTCCCTGTCATAAGCTTTTGTACAAGAACTTAAGAAGTATGGACCACAATTCATCCCAGCACTGCGAGTCGGCTGCCTGAGAACTGCAGAGACTACCAAGATATACCTTCTTGTCTTTTCCTTCTATCCCTGGAACTTAAAAAAGGCTGTTCTGTGATATTCGCTTTTTTCTTTTCTTTTTTTCTCTAAACATCCGCCTTTTTTGCTCGTGACTTCCCATCAACTTCCGCCATGGACGGGCAACAGGACTACGACGAGGATACCTCCTCTGAGGACGCTCTACCCGTCATTTGGGTGAAGAGCTCATATGAAGTTAGTATTCAGCGAGGCAGACAAAACGAGCAGACACCTGAGCAACACGTCGGCGAGGAACCGGATACACAAGATGACAGTTCACATGACGAGGAGGACCTTGACAGCGAGATGGATGTGGACGATGAAGGTATCGAGTATACGAGTGACATGTCTGAAGATCTCTCTGACGGAAAGTTAGGCTTTCAATCTGGAGAAGACTCGGAGGACTCAGAAGACCACGGCGTTGAAATGGAACCTGATAGCGCGGGCGACGTGGATCTTGAAAATATGTTCGATGGGCTTTCTGACGAGTTCTCAGACTTCGAGGCCGGAGAAGACACAGAGGAGCATCAGCCCAATAGGGTTTCAGATAGCCAGGACGAAACCTCAAACGACGAAATGTCCGTTGACGACGAAGATGGCGAGGCTTCGGGAGACATGTCTAAAACTCTTTCCGACGGCGCATCAGATGACGAACAAGGTGGAGAGACAGGGCAGCAGAGCCACCAACTCGTCGCCCCCGAAGACTCTGAGACAGAAGAGCCTACCCAAATAGAAACGGAAGATTGTACCGCCTGCTACACAGAAGACATCCCAGTCACGCTACTACAAGAACTTATATGCGGACATGTCTATTGCCGTCCATGCCTCATCCACATCTTCAAAACATCCCTCTTGTTTGCCTCGCACTTCCCCGCCCGATGCTGCTATGAAGAGATCCCTCTCGAAGCCATCGAGGCGCATATGCATCAGAGCGACGTGCAACGTTACCGCGAGAAATTGCTTGAGCACAGGACGATAAATCGAACGTACTGCAGTAACCGTCAATGCCTCGAGTTCATCCCTCCTAATAACATCTCCGATGGTGGTGAACCCTGCTACGGGCACGAGGCAGAGTGTCCTGCTTGCAAGGAGGTCACTTGCACCAAGTGCAAGGATAAGCGACATACCGGTGCTTGCGAGAAGAAGGCCGACATGGACCAGACCTTGGACCTTGCGCAGAGCGAAGGCTGGAAGCGATGTTCTCGCTGCGGTCACCTCATCGAGAAGATTGATGGGTGTTACCATATAAGTATGCCTCGGAACCAACTTGCCAACCTTGTAAACTTACTGACTTATACCTCGCAGTTTGTCACTGCGGCTATGAGTTCTGCTACAAGTGTGGTGCAGAAGTTGATACCTGCGATTGTGAATAGGATGCCGATCCAGCCCCTCAACAACACAACACCCTGCCCCATCGGAACCCAATGCGAACCGTCCTCGGCTCCCACCGATGCTGTGCGATCACGATTGGCAGATGGTGGGACCCGGAGACTGTAGATTGTGTCGTGAGGGAGAATACCCCTATACCTTCGAGTGTACAGCTTGCACCCTGCGTGTCTGCCATGGCTGCTGAGACGCTGTCGCGCATATCGACGGCTGGATTGCGCATGATTATCTCAAATAGAGGGGAGGTTTGCGAGGCAGCTGATCATCGACGGATCAGCGGTGATCGATTGAACACCCCGCCAGCAACGAGAATGAAACCATCCCTCTTCGTTCTGACGACCCGATCTGACGACCGGATCTATATGATCGACGTCAAGTCGGTGTTCGATCCTGACTGTGCCATTTACTCTCGTCGCGTCCTCCTCAACAAGATCCCTCAGGGAACTACCCTCACCCAGATCGCTAACGCGGTCTATGGTGTTTATACCACGCACGTCGTAAATGGGTGCTGTTGGCAACTGAGCATGTTGACGGCGAAGGCAAGCGAGGCTTCCGATTATTTACGAAATGATACCCGGATAGACTCGGAGGAGACTTGCGCGTTGGAGTATATTGGTTTGCAGATTGGAGATGGTTTGGGTTAGAGAAAGGCTGGTGTTGGGTGGAGCAAGGGGCTGCACACTACAAGGATGGCATCCAATGGTGCTTTGTAATAGTACCTTAATGTATGAATACAACAATGAGAAAATAACGATGATAAAGAGATGTACGGTTGCGTCGGGCAGGAGGCGTGCGCCCAAGCCACTCATCGGTTGAGTGAGAGGTCCGCTACCCATAGTATTCCGAGGCTGTCTTCCTTTGCTGAGGAGAAAGAGAGTCTTCATGGAATGAAGATACGCCAAAATTATCACCGGCTCTTATTCTCTATAGTACCTCTAAAATTATTAAAAACCTTTTCTGGGCTACTATACCTGTAGATAGTAGGCTCCGAAATTGTAGTTTTGAGAGTGCTATTTTCTATGAATTGACCTGACAGCTAATACTTGCATCGCGCAACTGACCTCACTGTGAGCTTTTAGTCACATACTGAGCTACGAATAGCACATTTAGCTCATTAATTGGACATTATTCTATAATACCTAGTTAGTTAGTATATTGGAAATGCATGGGAAATGCATGGGAATCGCAACTCAGCAAGGTTAGCACACCAGGGTGTCGCTATCAGTACTTGATGCCAAATGACGAGGCATAGAAGAAGACACCTGTAGGTAAAGCGCAATTATCTTACCTGGGTATCAGCTAAATGTTATTTATGAGCATGCTACAAGCTTTTGTACCGCAGGAAAACATCATCTGGCATTCTCAAATTGTTCTTGGAGTGTCAGTCTGAGTAGACAGACCTGACAGCTGATGCTTGCATCGCGCGGCTTACCTTTACATTCTCGTCTAATATAATATGAAACAGGGCTTCTCAATTGACTACGGCCTAGTCTTCTAGTATGAGCAAGTACATGCTTCATCGGCGACTGTTGGCCATCACCCAATAAGCTGTAACCGAAGCGTTAGGATGCTCTTCAGATCCAGACACGATCGCGAACTTAAACATACATCCCTGGGACCGTCGTTAAGATGGAAGGAGAGGGAGATTTGTATGCCCAGTCTAGCCAAGAGTCTGGAGCATATCTTATCCGATACTGGATGTGCAGCCTGGTCACAATTTCGCAAGGTAAAGCGCCAGTGTTTGTTAGGCAACATCTAATGCAGATTGACAAGCACTCCTTTAGCAAACATCCACGTGAAAAGATTCACTTTCATTTTTGGCATCATTCTCTCGATAGGCAGACAGTTTGTCAAAGATACAAAGCAGAGTGCTTCACATGAATTGGCAGTGGACAGTCCAGCTCACACTGCTGTGCTATGGATCGCTCTGGAATCTTGACCAGGCACCACCTCGAAGGCCTGCAGCCAAATAGGACAGAACTTAATTACATAACTCATCGATATTCTTTCTATCTTACAGACTAATATTTCTACTTTTGACATGACCCAAACACACCGGAGCAAACTGGAGAACACAGGAGCACACGGGAGTACACAGGACCACCCCTCATCGTCGCAACCTTCTCCCACCACCATGACTGCTTCTCACAACCAGCACATCACCATCACCCACCCATCACCGTCACGACTTCTTACACCATACCATCCCCACCAACTTATCGATACATCCCCGAACACTTTCATCATCAATGAAGTGACAACAACAAGGAAACATCAGTGGGAAAATATTCCCCGCTTCATACCACAATGCTTGCAAACTGAATATTTGCAGCGTGTGCACTGCCACAGGAACGTAGGCAGCACATGGTAACAGTCAAAGCATCGACCCGACAACTTGACTTGCTTCATCAATGGGTGCTGGCATGCCCCATTCTGGGTCACGGCACGGCGGGCTCCAGTGTTGCGTTCGAAAACCCCCCCAAACTGCTTCTTTTGTCCCCGAAAGGGCGCAACTTGGGGTCTCGCAGTCTGCAGGGTTGGCGCCTTGACGATAGCCATATCCTTTTCACGGCGCTGGCGGCCATCCCACCAGTCGCATTTGCAGTCCGCTCTGCTGTTGTTGCATTGGTAGCAACAGTCAGGACAATCTATGAACAGGGGTTATTAGTTTCGTACTAGCTGCAACAGATTCTTACTTACACAAGCCTTCCTCAATAGTGTTGTGGCACACGTGGCACTTGGTGTCTTCATTGTCGACTTTCTCTTCACAAAATCCATTGAAGGAGTACTCTGTTTTCTCCTCGGTCGAAAGCGAGGGGGGAGAGGCAACAGATGGGGTAGATGGGGTAAAATGAGCAGAAGGGGTAGTCGGGGTACGAGGGATAGAAGTGAGAGAATGAGGAGAGGGAAGTGACTTTTCGTCTGATTCACCGATGCTACCCTGTTCACTGACATCAGATGTCCCGAATTTCTTCCCCAGGAAATCGTACAAAGTCTTCTCATCGAAGATAGAAGAGTTGATGTCAACAGGGATTGGAATTTCGCAACACACAGGAGGGAAAGGAGTCGGCCCATGGATCGAAGTCTTGACCACGTCGTTAAGACAATCAGCACAATACTGATGTTTGCAAAAGCAAGTGATGGCATTCTCAACAGAGTCATTACCACATTTGAAGCACTTGACAGCATTGCTATCCTCACGGATATTGGTTGCAGGTGTAAATGTGTTGTCACCGGTGATGGATACGGAAGCGCACTGTGGCTTGGCAGGGACAGTGCCCTCATCACCGGGAGCTGAAGTAGTTCCACTGGGGGAGAATGGGACAACTTCAGAAGTATTCACCGGAGGTTCGGGTTCAGACTCGACAGAGTGGTCGGGGGTAGGGGAGGTATCGAGCGCGACATTGCTACTCTCGGCCTCTTCCCACTCCTTAGCAAAAGTGCTTGTAGGAGGGAAAGCATCTGCGATAGTAGTCGAGATAGTGCCTGTAGGAGTGGGGTCCTCATCAAAAGAAATGAGGCCCTCATCAACCTCATCGTGGTGGAGGTGGGTTGCCGGTGGTGGGGATGCAGCCTCAATGCTGACGCTTTCGACATTGTGGATAGTTGAGTCCTTTGAAGAGGTGCCATGTTCTGCCTCTCGGGAAGAGATTGACTGACTGGAACTCTGTGCTCGGGCTTCAATTATGTGACCCACATCCCTTTCGGAGAGGAAAGCAAGAGCAGTTTCCGTGACCTTTGAGACCTTGCTATCATTGGAGTGAACTGTCTCCAAATCTGGGAGAGTCTTTGGAGGAGCACCGGCGTTGTCATCGGAATAGATGTCAGAGAGGCACTCTTCTTCTTGAGCTGGTACAATATTAGTAATGAGGTCAGATTACACAGGCATGTGGTGTTTTACCTCGAAGACCGGCATCAAGACGGGCGAAAGCCTTCTGATATGCGATCTCCACAGAATCGGCAGCATGAGTACCACGAGCAACGGTGGGGACGACATCGCTGGCACCGTCGGAAGAGGAATCGATAGTGGCAGTAGTGGAGGTAGTCAAATGGGGCTCCTAGGCATCCTCTTCGAACTCCTCCAGCTGATCACCTACACGAAGCCCGTCTAACGAAAATGGTCAGCTTTGTGATGGTTTGGGAGTGTTACGGTTGCTTACTTGCGGTGCCGGAAGTGGCAGTAACCGGAGCAGGTCTCCAGTGAGAGCGTACAGCGGCCGAGAAAGATGCACCGCGAAGCTCTTCGAGATCATACTCGGAAGCAACAAAGTTTTTGTTTAATCGAGCATTGATAGCCTCTTCGTTGAACACGAGGCGGCCAGCAACAACTTGTTCCAAGTAGGGAGTGATAGCCAGCATGTCGCGGACAAGATCTGGCAGTTCATCCTGCTCTGGATTCTCTTCTTTGTGTTGCATGATGTAGGCAAGCTGGTACCGCGCAAGCTCCTGCATATTGGCTTCATGCTCGGAAGCCATGACGGCAACGGAGAAGGGAGACTTGGGGCAAATGAGTTCAGTGACAGTGGAGGATGGAAAGGAATGTGAAGATAAAATGGGATGAAAGTTTGATGAAGTGCTCGATTTGTTTGGGGTGAGGAAGATGAGAATGTTTTTTGAAGTGGAGATGGGGGAGGAGAAGAGGAAGAAGAGGAAGAGAGTTAGGCCAGCACGGTCCGTTTTCGGGACAAATTGGAGAAAGTGCGGATGGGCTAGGGCAAGGCAACCTCAGGCTTACGATCGACTTGAGGTAGGAGCTCAGGTGCAGGCGTGAGGAGACACCGAGAGGGAACTCGCCCGGGTATGGCACTGTCAAGAAGACACTGGGCTCGAAACCACTTTCATTCGAGTGTATCAGTCAGAATTAGGGCCGATAGTGGTTTGTATAGGGATATAGATATTAAAAATGTGATAACATGTATGTTAAGTACATAAAAGGGGATATGTTAGATCATAGAGGTTTGACCATCCTGTGGGATGTTATATACGAGAGATGCCCTCCTCACGAGCACAACCAACACATAACAATAGATCTATCTTGCAGGGGCCTTGGATGTACAAATAGTATCCATTGGTACCCATTCGTTCTTATTCACTACGATGCGTATTGTTGCAGAGATCCCCATAAGATTGTCTAATTAACCTCGAACATGAACCCCAGAGCCTGATAGAGGACCAGGCTTAGTAAATAGTATTCTAAACTTATACCAAATTACCTAAACCCTTTCATTGTTTAGGATTGAGGCCCGAACATTTGCCTTTCTTAGCTGCAAATACTGCAGCCATAGTTGCAGCAAACATTCACCTCAATGTCATCACTTGGAGAAGTCAATGCATCCATTTCCCTATCAAAAAGCCTCCTAGTCCCGTTCTACTGTACATACGACAAAGCTAAGCATATCCCATCCCTCCCACCATTTGGTTACTTTTCCTAACGCCTAGTCCGTACCAGTTACACGCCCCTCAAGTCATCATCGTCTTCAACGCCATCCCCAACGTCAACACAGCGTGATCCTCCCCCATAACCCCCGGCGGTTTCTTATCCAACCCCATGAGCCCATAAACAGCCAATTGCGCCGACCGAACCGAATACTCCATCGTAAACGTCACCTCCCTCTCAATCTCAACAAACTGCCCCATCAAGCCCAAGTTCTTGCTCCCATCGGGTATTACCTTTGGTCGATCGCCTTTCTTGCGTGTCAAGAACGGACTCCCGATCAATGGCATCAAGCATGGGATTGTGATTGAGCGCTCGAGGGTGGGTTGCAGGGGAAAGGCCATGAGGTGCAGAAGCTCGGTGAGGATTTCGGCGCCGGTGCATTCGAGCATGGGTTTTCTGACGTAGCGGCCTTGTTGATCTGGGAAGAGGCCGTACCCCCAGAATACGAAAACGTCTGAGGGTTGATCTCTGACGTATGGTTGTTGAGGGATTGTGAGGGAGAGCATCCAGGGGCAGTCGCGGAAGGTTATTAGTGGTACAGCTCCTGTCAGTGTGCCGGTCCAGCTACGTAAGTGCTCGAAGAACGCTGGGTCGCGAAGGGTGACGGTGAAGGAGAGCCATGTTGACTTTGAGGGTCGGTCGAAGAACGCTTCAGGGTTGCCGAATGTCTGGGGGCGATCCATCGCAAGTCTATCCCAGAAGGTCCACGATGGGTCGAGCTCATGAGGTGCTGAATCGCGAAGCTCCATCGTCGGCGGTGGTTGGTCATTTGTGCCGTATCCCATTCCAGATGTGAGGGAGCCAAGGGTGAGAAGTACAAGGTCATCGGGCCCAGTTGGTATCATGACATGCTTGCTATCTTGGTATGTTTTCAGGGCGGACACTCGAAAGTCAGAACCAATATCCTCAATTTCCAGACCGCTAACTTGAATGCCTACACAGGTCAGCTTTGTCCCTTCGAACGAGTACCCGAACTTACCGTGCCGAAACTCAACATCCATCGCCTTCAGATACTGCGTCAAAGGCTTGATGATCGCCTCGAAGTCCTCCTCAGGAGCCTGCTCCACGCCAGATAATGTCCCCATATTGGGAAACTCATGCAACATCCTATGAAGGCACCGCCTAAACTCGACAGCACTACACCAAGGATGGAACCTATTGAGCGACGACCATAAATCCCAAAAGTTCGTCTCGAAAAAGTCTGGTTCAAATAAAGCCTGAATCTCAAGGCCCTCCAGCTCCTCTTCCGTCTCAAGCACAACTCTCATCAAGTCACACTGGTTCTTGACACTCAAACCCATTGTGCTCACATCAACAGCCTCAGGCTTCTCAGTCCCATTGTCGGCAAGGACCTGCCTCACTAATCTCGTTCCCGATGCGCCGAGTTTCCTCCTTGCTTGGTTGAATCGGTGTAATTTGGCTGCGAGTGTCTCACCTTCAACGTCCGACGGTACCTTTTCCAACATCCCATACAAACAATGATAAGTGAGACTCATTTTCCGAATCGCAGATACTCGGTACCCTCTGTCCCATGATGGCTTCGAAAACGTCGCCATTGATCCACCAGCTTTCGCCGATGCCTCGAGAATGTGGATATGATCCCCCGGGACCTTTGCATCTTCAATCAGAAAGACCGCGGCGGCAAGAGATGCAATACCGCCGCCAACAAGCCACACATGAGCATCCTTCGAATCGGCGTCATTAGTACTCTCCGGGCTATTGCGGAGGCTAATAACCCCATTGTTCTCGTCGGGCGAATTGTCGTGTTTGTCATCCATCCTCAATTCCGCAGTTGCAGAATGTCGTTCGATCTGGCTTATTCTAGACCGGGGATTATCGTGATCGCTGCAAGCGAGGAAGGATCCTTGCGAAGAACGGCACGCATGTAATTGGTAAGAATCCTTTTGCTTTTTTATCTTTCGACAAGTCTAGCTTCTACTAGCTTCTTTAGAGACGGAAGAAAAAAACAAGATCGATCGAGTTTATCTGGAGAAGAAAGGAGATCACGAGAGAATGGCGAAATTTTTATGACTGGGCTGGGCCTCATTCAGCACGAACCCTTTCACGGCCCGGTCCATCCATTACAAGAGACACATACATATATGATGACTTATCACGTACATTGGCGCCTCTCTTTCTCGATCTTGTTTGAGACTTTTTCTTTCAGCCTCAGGTCGTGGACAAATGAGATGCTGCTGTTATGAAATATGGGAGCATCGTACGATGTATGGTTGGCGTGATACCGGGTGGACCGGGCAGCCATCGGAAGCGGGCCGCTGATTGTGACGGAGGATGAAGAATTGAGCTCCGGAAGGCGCCGGCGCTTCAAGAATTGATGTATTGTATCATCGATGATCTATATATGCGGTGAGGTACTGTCTATAATATTTTGAGATACCCCATGCATCAATTGATAGGCTGAGGCATTCGCTGTCATGGTTTTGTTGACGTCTCAACAGTGGCGCGAAGATCATATCATGAAAACTCAATGGCCAATGCAGCCTAGGGCATCGGCCTGCGTAGGCCGTTGAGCTGCCCCTCAGGGAATAAGAAAACTCAGGACCTGTGTAAGCGACAAAAAGATTTAGGTAAGTTTAGTACAACTTGGTGGAGCTTTAGAGCAGTTCATTTTGGTGCCCTCAATTAGATTTCTTGCTCTCTGAGCTACTGTATCATGACGGGACTTTTCTGTCAGAAAAGGCTGCTATCACTCACCAGTTGCGTTGATTAAAACATGCTTATTTTATAGGACGTTTCAGATCCGGAATGTTATGACGGGAATAGTTTTGATGCACGAAGGCAGCAAGAAAGTTTTGGCCACGGCATCCCGTCTCCAGCTTCGACCATACAACACTTCTTAGAGTCCTGGCCCCATTTGCTATTTTTCTTGTTCGAACGACGAAAATAAATGTCCCCAGAAAGAAAAATAGTAGCAATAATCCAATAGTGCAATGATATGACAATGCATCCTCTGGCCCTCAGGGTCTACGGCCCCGCAAACAACCTTCCGGAGGGTGGACCTTCAACGGCCGGGTCAGGGTTTAACCACAACAAGGGTCTCGTCTTTCAAAGACGATTCTTGCATCATGAACAACGTACACAAGTTTATCAATTCTCCCACGAAGCAAAAACGCCGATGCTTGTACATCATTGTGTCGTGGTTTGCGCAGATCCGGGTAGCATCCGATGCACTGGGCCGTGAGTTGCTGGCCTCAATGAGTGAATGTCGGATGGTCGTTGAGATATTGCAACCTGAAATGTTTCATGTTTGTTCAGTGACTTCATGTTACAGGCAGCAATCTCTGAGCCCAGGCGGCTTTGATGGGAAGATATGAGCACATCCCTAGGGTCGTTCGCCTCTAGGCTTCCAAGCTCATGACCACCAGACGTCCTCGCCATCAAACAGGTTTGCCATGGCAGAGAATGCACTTCCTTTCGGCGTAATGATAGCCCGTGTAGGCTCCCAGAATTAAGTACGGCGAAAGTTGTGCGCAGTAAGATTGATCAGAATATGCAGGCCGGGCAGATTCAGCAGATCCAACAACCCCCCTCGGCCCCTAAACAAGACTCCAACTCCTCTCGGCATTTACGAGACTAGAAAATAATGGCGCATCATAGCCGAATGCGGCTCAACGTCAAAGCCAAGGACCAGTCCCTCATCAACGTCACCACCACAAGACATGATCCGGATATCCGCTCAAGAGCCTCAAGAACCTCGGTCCAAGAGATCAAATCTTATCAATCTAACCTCTAGAGCATCTCAAACCACACTAGAAGCCGAGATCGCAGCTTTGCCACGTCTTAACCCCCACCAGAGCTCAACTAGCGCGGAGAATTCTGCTCATGAGAGCTTCAATGGTGATGGTGGCATGGAGGAACTGATTGATAAGGAGTGGGGCGAAACGCCAAGACCATGAAGAATGTGGAGTTTTTTACGTACAAGGGGAGATTCAAGCGGATGAGACCGCCGATATTTTGCGACGATGTCGTGAGAGCTTCATTTGTCAAATAGTGAGTTTGTATTGAGTTCAGTGAGTAACAGGAATTGAATGAAGGATGATTGTGTGAAGAGACAATTGCCAATCCACCGCAAATGCTACGTCTTGTTGGCTCGAGGTAACATGGAGATTTGACAGCAAAGAGAAAGAAAAAAAGCTGGAGCTCAGACATTTTTCGGTTGGCCTCGAAAGTGGATGATCAGGGGTATTCCCTCCACTTCCCTTCCCGCTGCGGCGCGTTTTACGTTTACGATCACGCGTTGTTGAATTGCCTTCAAAATTCTTGGTCACTGCGCCTCGAATACAAATCATCAAGAGATTCAGATCCAAGGACAGCTGAAAAGGACCACGCGTACTCCGTAATACCAGATCAATACTAAAATTGGCTGTAATTATTCATCATTTAATTGTCGGTGACGACAGTGGTAGTGGTGGTTATTTGCGTATTCGGTTTTTACGATTACGAAAGGCAAGCTAAGATTAAAGAGAGGCGACAAGCATCATGGAAGTCAGAGAGGGTTCCATTTTGGTCTGTCAGATCGTGGCATGGTTACAGTCGTTTGGCCCTTTTGCATTCATGCAGTGTTTGACAAAGAAAATGTTGCGGTAGCACAGTTGGTGGAAGACCGTGCTGAGAACAATATCTTGAGAAAGTTGTATTCTTCTAGGAGTCAACTGACTGTTTTTGAAGACAATTGCTTGCATCATGATCGCCCTGAAAGGAGTCAATGCCTTCCCTGTAGCCCACGCGGTCTGTACGCCACATTCACTGAGTGCCCTGGTCTGCAAGCCACTCACAGCGGACAGCGGTGCATAAGGTACAGACAAGGTACTCATCCGTAAAATCTTATGCTCGGCGCGGAATCTTGCAGCTTGTGGTAATGTACCGCGATGACACAAGCTGTCCGATTGGTTTGTCGCATGCACTTGTAGGCCAATTGGCCAGTTAGACTGTGGTTTCAACAAATCGGTGATGGCATTTTGATCTTTTTTCCCTAGAGTCTGCTCTGTAATTTCAGTGACAACGCCGCCATTTTGAAAGGAAGAGAAGGGCCTTCTCCACAACAAATTCGTTCTCGGCTTTACTGTACCGGTATTAATTGGTTAGGTCGTTTGTCCGACGTTGAGTCCCCTAATAGAATAGGCGTCTTCCGCCTGGGCTATGGGCTATGATCCTACGACCCTCCGACCGACAGTTTGAATATCCCTCCACTTTCTTCCGGTCTCCATCATTTCCCGCTTCTTGGACCATCCCATCAATCTCAATCTCCCTCCACACCCTCTTGACCCCCTTTTACCTCTTTTTTTCTTCCTTCTCTTTTTTCTATTCCCCCTCTCCCAGTCGTAATCGCTTTCCCTTCTCACATCAGAGAATAATCCTTTTTCTCTGTTGCCTTGTCGAGTTGGTGGTTGTCGCCTCCTTTGATTCGTCCCTTTTTTTTTCTGTGGCTGTCCCCCAGCTCAGCTCGGCCTCAACGCCTTGCCCCTCCACCTCCCACCGCGTTTTTGGGTCATCCGCCTCGAATAGTTGGAAGTAATAGGACTGTCACATCTGGGAATGTAAGTAATACTTTTTATCTGCCTAAGCCTCACCCATACTCGTCATCTGCTCCATCGCTGCACCCATTTCTTTGTTGTGGTGTTGTCAATGGCTACTTCAAATACCCGCCTTTTCTCCAGATCGTTTCTTCTTCCCCGGACTTACACCTGCGCTTAGACCAAAATCAATGTGGTAAACGACATCGACGAATAACCCTTCTAATCCTCGAATCGAATCCGACATCATGGCTACGGTTCTTCTGCCCGCGCGCTTCCGCGGCGAGGCTCCCGTCACCGAAAGGACGACACCGTCGTGGTTCTCGAAGCGACTTACGCCCATCGCCCAGTTCCTCTCCCGACTCGCGTGCTCTCATCCGATCCACACCGTCGTCGTTGTCGCCGTCCTTGCGAGCACCTCATACGTTGGTCTTCTCCAGGAGAGCTTCTTCAACACCGATGTTGAAAGTGCTACTCTTGGCAAGGCCGATTGGTCTACGCTCGTTGAAGGTAGCAGAGTCCTACGCGCAGGACCTGAAACTGCTTGGAACTGGAAGGCCGTCGAGCAGGACGCCGTTGCCGATGCTGGCTCGGACGCCGACCACCTTGCTCTCTTAACTCTTGTCTTCCCCGACAGCCTGTCCGCCGAATCGTCCAGCACTGCTCCTCGCTCTCACCACGTGCCTATCCCTCAGAATCTGTCTATTACATCTCTTCCCTCTACCGAGAACCCTTTCACCGCCTATTCCCAGGACAGCATCCTCGCCTACGCTCTTCCCTACTCTGAGGGCCCCGAGTTCCTTGCTGCTGCCCAGGAGATCCCCAACGAAGATGCCGTCGAGATTGAGACCAAGCACGGACGCGAGAAGAAAACATGGATCATGAAGGCTGCCAAGGTCAACACTCGCAAAAGTGTTGTCCAGTGGGTTAGCAATGCTTGGACTGAGTTCCTCGACCTTCTCAAGAACGCCGAGACTCTCGATATTGTTATCATGCTTCTTGGTTATATCGCTATGCACCTGACCTTTGTTTCCCTCTTCCTCTCTATGCGCAAGATGGGTTCCAAGTTCTGGCTCGGCATCTGCACTCTGTTCTCCTCTGTCTTCGCTTTCCTCTTTGGTCTTGTGGTCACCACCAAGTTGGGTGTTCCCATCAGTGTCATTCTTCTGTCCGAGGGTCTCCCCTTCTTGGTTGTCACCATTGGCTTCGAGAAGAACATTGTCCTCACCCGCGCTGTCATGTCCCACGCCATTGAGCACCGACGCATCCAGGCTCAGAACTCCAAGTCTGGCAAGCGATCTCCCGAGCGCTCTATGCAGAACATGATCCAATATGCTGTTCAGGCTGCCATCAAGGAGAAGGGTTTTGAGATTATCCGCGATTACGCTATTGAGATTGTCATCCTTGTCATTGGTGCTGCTTCTGGTGTTCAGGGTGGTCTCCAGCAATTCTGCTTTCTGGCCGCCTGGACCTTGTTCTTCGACTTCATCCTACTCTTCACTTTCTACACTGCTATTCTCAGCATCAAGCTCGAGATCAACCGTATCAAGCGCCATGTTGATATGCGTAGGGCCCTTGAGGATGATGGTGTCAGCCGTCGTGTTGCCGAGAATGTCGCCCAGGGTGATGATGAGCTGAACCGCGTCAGGGGCGACACCCCTCTGTTTGGCCGCAAGAGCAGCAGTATTCCCAAGTTCAAGGTCTTGATGATTCTAGGCTTCATCTTTCTCAACATTGTCAACATCTGCTCGATCCCATTCCGCAATCCCAGCTCCATGTCCACCCTCCGAACCTGGGCCAGCAGTCTGGGCGGCGTCATCGCTCCTCTCTCCGTTGACCCTTTCAAAGTTGCCTCCAACGGTCTGGATGCTATCCTCGCTACTGCCAAGGCCAACAACCGACCTACCTTGGTCACTGTCTTGACTCCCATCAAGTACGAGCTCGAGTACCCTTCAATTCACTACGCTCTTGGTTCTGCTGCCAGCAACCCTGCCTACGACGATGCTTTCCACCACCATTTCCAGGGCTACGGTGTTGGCGGCCGCATGGTTGGCGGAATTCTCAAGTCTCTTGAGGATCCCGTTCTCTCCAAGTGGATTGTCATTGCCCTTGCTCTCAGTGTCGCTCTTAACGGCTACCTCTTCAACGTCGCCCGCTGGGGAATCAAGGATCCCAATGTTCCTGAGCACAACATCGACCGAAACGAGCTTGCCCGTGCGCAGCAGTTTAACGATACCGGCTCCGCTACTCTTCCTCTCGGCGAATACGTCCCTCCTACTCCCATGCGAACCCAACCTAGCACTCCTGCTATTACCGACGACGAGGCCGAGGGTCTCCACATGACCAAGGCTCGCTCTGCCAACCTACCCAACCGAAGCAACGAAGAACTCGAGAAGCTCCTGTCCGAGAAGCGCGTCCGCGAGATGACCGACGAGGAGGTTATTTCTCTGTCTATGCGTGGCAAGATTCCTGGTTACGCTCTTGAGAAGACTCTCGGCGACTTCACCCGCGCTGTCAAGATTCGACGAAGCATTATCGCTCGCAACAAGGCCACCACCGACGTTACCCACTCGCTCGACCGATCCAAGCTACCTTACGAGAACTATAACTGGGAGCGCGTCTTTGGCGCATGCTGCGAGAACGTTATTGGATATATGCCTCTTCCCGTTGGTGTTGCTGGTCCTCTCGTTATCGATGGACAGAGCTACTTCATCCCCATGGCTACTACTGAGGGTGTCTTGGTTGCCAGTGCCAGTCGAGGTTGCAAGGCCATCAACTCTGGTGGTGGTGCTATCACTGTCCTCACTGCTGATGGTATGACTCGTGGTCCTTGTGTCGCTTTCGAGACTCTTGAGCGCGCTGGTGCTGCCAAGCTCTGGCTTGACTCTGAGGCTGGTCAAGATATGATGAAGAAGGCTTTCAACTCTACCAGTCGCTTCGCTCGTCTTCAGTCCATGAAGACCGCTCTTGCCGGCACTAACCTGTACATTCGATTCAAGACCACCACTGGTGATGCTATGGGTATGAACATGATTTCCAAGGGTGTCGAGCACGCTCTGAGCGTCATGGCCAACGATGGAGGTTTCGATGACATGCAGATCATCTCTGTCTCTGGTAACTACTGCACGGATAAGAAGGCCGCGGCCCTCAACTGGATCGACGGGCGTGGTAAGGGTGTTGTTGCTGAGGCTATCATCCCCGGTGAGGTTGTTCGCAGCGTTCTCAAGAGCGATGTCGACTCTCTTGTTGAGCTCAACGTCGCCAAGAACTTGATTGGTTCCGCTATGGCTGGTTCAGTCGGTGGTTTCAACGCCCACGCTGCCAACATCGTCGCTGCTATTTTCCTGGCCACCGGTCAGGACCCTGCTCAGGTTGTTGAGAGCGCCAACTGTATCACTATCATGAAGAAGTGAGTCTGTCCCTTAGATCGAGCCGAACACATGCTAACGTCTACAGCCTCAATGGAGCTCTTCAGATCTCTGTCTCTATGCCCTCGCTCGAGGTCGGAACTCTTGGTGGTGGTACTATCCTTGAGCCCCAGGGCGCCATGCTCGACATCCTTGGTGTCCGAGGCTCTCACCCCACCAACCCCGGTGACAACGCCCGCCGTCTCGCCCGCATCATCGGTGCAGCCGTCCTCGCCGGCGAGCTGTCTCTCTGCAGTGCCTTGGCCGCTGGTCATCTCGTCCGAGCTCACATGCAGCACAACCGAAGTGCCGCTCCCTCTCGCAGCACCACGCCTGCTCCTCCCATGACGCCCGTCTCCCTGGCCATGACCAATGCTCAGGAGCGCTCAGCGTCAACAACGTCGATGAGCGCCGCTGCTATTCAGAGGTCAAAGCGATAGACGAATAACTTTGCATTTGAAGGAGTAGAGGCGACCGGATGATAAAAAGTTTACATAGACGAGAACATGTATGAGTATGATACACTACCACACATGGTCTGGGATGGAGTGGATGGTCACACAGCATGGAGTTTTTGCATTGAACATTCTGGAAAGATGAGAGCATCCATACATACATATACAGCCGCCGAAAGATGGCGATATTGAAGATGGTAGTTATGTTAAAGTACCACTTCGCTATTCAATTTTAATCCTTTTTTTGTTAAATCATGCCATATGTCTTTATTCTTGCCACTGCATCTCCGTCAATGGATGTGAACTTGATGCCCTTGTCCTCCATGCCTCTCTTGCACTCCTCCCACTTGTCAGGCATAACTGGCTTTGTCCCTTCGTTCACAATCCACGTCGTATAACCTTCCTGCAGCGCATCTTCTGCCGTAGCTTTGACGCAAAAGTCTGCTGCCAGCCCAACCACGAAAACATCCGTGACGCCCTGCTCACTCAACATGCCCGCGAGTCCACTATCACTCACCCTGAACGGATCATAAAACGCACTGTACATCTCCACGCGCTCATCCTGTCCTTTTTCGATAACGGCATGAACTCGCGAGACGTCTAGCTCCGGTACCAGCTCGCAGCCTGGCGTGCCTTGGACACAGTGCGTTGGCCATAACGTTGTGTCGTAGCTCTTGGAAGGATCGTTTGGGTGTTTGATGGTGGTGGTTGATGTGTATGGTGTTGAAGAGGGGTGGTTTGAGGCGAAGGATATGTGGGAGGGTGGGTGGAAGTCTTTTGTTGCGAGGATGAGAGGGAAAGGGAGGGTTGTTAGGTGGTTTATGGGGGAAGCGATTGTGCGGCCTGAAGGGACGGCGAGGGAGCCGGACTGGAGATGTTTAGCTGGGTTTGGATGAGATCATGACAGTGAAGATTCGATACTCACAGGCGGGCAGAAGTCTTCTTGAAAGTCGACAATAATGAGTGCAGGCTTATACGGTTTATCGCTCGCCATGATCAACTTATCGTTTGAGCGTCTAGGGAAGGACCTCGATCTCAAATGACAAAAAGACTGAGGTAATTTGGCTTAAGTTTAGGATAACCTTTGCTGAGTTTATTGAGACACCGTATATTATGAAAGATTCGATGTCAAGTAGCGAGTGTCTTGAACGAGCAATGTCTTGCAGATGACGATGGAGAAAGGGAAGTGATCAACTGATAAGAGCCCGATCGGCCCCGCTCTTCCGACAGAGGGGTATCACGTTCAGATAACCGAGCACCATTTCACGACAAAAAGATTCACACTTCCAACTCCAAAATCTATACAGCATAAACATTAAGATGGGCAAAAAAAAGTGTTTTTATAGGAATAGCCCGATGCGGGGGTCGAACCCGCAACCTTGAGATCGCGTACTCGTAAGAGTCTCACGCTCTACCGATTGAGCTAACCGGGCTCAATCTTGTTTGTTGAACATGGTCCAGGTATTGCGATTCATGGGCGTGAATGGGACTGGTTGGTTAGTGAGAGAGGAGAAATTTTTCAGTGTTGGTGCAAGGAATTGGGGGGCAGAGGGGTTATTAAATTCAGTGGGTTTTCAGGGACACCCTGGCCTGATGGGATGTGGAGATGGAGATGGAGCTACCCTGGATCGTGGATTGAGGCTCTGGGGAGATGAGAACTTGAGGTTGGAAGCTTGGTATGTCAGTGTATACGTGCTTTGTTTGGGGTTGCGATACTTGCTTCTGTTATCTTTGCGGTTTGTCAATTGTCTAGCCCTCTTCTACCAGGCAGACTATTGTCTCATTTTATTGTTTGGTGGCATGTCATGTACAAACCTCCGACCAATACACAATAACACGTTTTGGGTGATGTGCAGCGATATTCGTACTCGGGTCACAAGAGGTGTGGCACATGAAGCTCTGATTGCACATTCACTGGCTTAAACATCCCAGGCACGCTCAAATCAGGAGCAAGTAAGTGCTTATGATAGATCTTAGGTCAATATGCCAAACAAGTGTTCAACTGCGAGGTGGCGCGTCCCATCTTCGAGGGACGGGACACGACCACGCAGACACAATATGCAATCCAACAGTCCCTGGAGGACATTGATTCACCTTTAATAATTAAGTTGGTTTTATGATGATGCAGTCTGAATTGAGAATCCCTTCTCTGGACTCTTGTGTCGTTGACCTAACCGCCAAGTTCATGTCACTACGCCTTAGCCGTCAGCACTACCGCGTAGTCAAACCACTATCTACAATTCTACAAGGATCCTCATCCATAGCCATTCCTCTGCAGCGCAATCCTTCACTCTTTGATCATGGAACGGACAACCGATGACGGAATTCCGTGCCGCGCTTAGGCGCTTATGTACAGCCATCACTCTGCACCAGTGACATGCGATAGATTAAATACAGCAGGCCCCTCGCTGCATGTTGGGAGCTAGGCAGTTCTTCATTTCTCTCAAGATGTCGTCTAGCACTGAGTTGGGCCTATTGGCTCGTGTGGCGAGTCCGCTGGGAATTGCCTCAATTCTTGTCATTGGGGTTCTTGCGATCTTTGTGATTGACAAGTTCACTTCTGTTCCTTATCCACCGGATATCCCGCTTATAAGAGAGCCCAAGGGTGCTCGTCGCTTTAGTCTTCGTACACGATGGGCGTACCTCACGGACTGTCAGGCACTCTTCTACGAAGCATACCATGAAGTACAGCCTCCCTCTCCTCCCAATAACTACCGCTGACACAGCGCAGTATCTCAAGAAAGGCAAACCCGTCGTCATCCCAGGCTTCGGCGTCAGAATAGAAGTACTCTTGCCTCACAGCCAAATGAAAGGAGTACTCAACCAACCTGAAGATGTTCTCGACATGGAGCAAGCGTTCGCTGAAGTCGATCAAGTCCGATGGTCGCTTGGGCACGAGAAATATGTCGTTGATGCGTGGCAGGGACTTGTAGTAAAGTATGATCTCAATCGCGCGATTGAGATTATTGCGAATAACATGAAGGATGAACTTCATGAGGTGTTTGATGAGCAGTTTGGTACAGACACGGAGAATTGGAGGAGGATTGACCTTACAAAGACTGTCAAGATGATCGTGGCCCAGGCCGCCAGTCGCTTCACCGTTGGACTTCCACTCTGTAAGTCTAACATCACTTCAATTGTTTTGGGGCATTGCTGATGAGCTAGGTCGAAACAAAGAGTATCTGAATCTTGCGCTCGAGATGAACGACCTCTTCATCATGAACGCTGGTCTCACAGGCGGTCTCCCCCGTATCCTACAGCCCATAACCGGAACACTCTTCGGCCAAATCGTCAATACAAAAGTAAACAAGATGAAGAAATGGATCATTCCTCTCCTCAAACAACGATTCGATAGGATCAACAACCATCCTGACGAACCGCAACCGCAAGACCAAGTTCAGATGATGATCAACTACGCTCTGCGCCATCGCCAGCACGAAGTCAACGACATGGAGTCGCTAGCTCGTCGCGTCGTCGCCCAGAACTTTGGATCAATTCACAACACGCAGATTCAAGTTGTTAATCTCATTTTGAACGTGTTGGGCTCTGATGCGGAGTTCAATACGATTGCCACCCTTCGCGATGAGATGGATCGTATTCTTGGGACTGATGACTCTGTCAATTGGACAAAGAGTGGTATTCAGGCTATGACGCGCGCCGACAGTGTCGCGCGAGAGTCAATTCGTCTATGTTCCTTCGGCGGACGCGCTGTATTTCGCAAAGTAATGGTCGACGACTTCAAGACAGAAGATGGCCACCACGTCCCCAAGGGTTCACTCATCTCCTTCATGGGCCACCCTGCACAAACCGACAACGAATTCTACGAAGATGGTCTAAAATACGATCCATTTAGATTCTCAAGGATTCGCGAGACAGCAGCTAGTCGCGACGAAAAAGCACCGCCTGTTACGTTTGTCACGACGTCGCCTGAGTTCTTGACTTTTGGACACGGGAAGCATGCGTGTCCGGGACGGTTCCTCATTGACTTTGAGATGAAGATGATTTTGGCGTATGCTTTGAGGAATTATGATATTAAATTGGCGGATGAGTATGAGGGCAAGAGGCCGCCGAATTATTGGATTGCTGAGGCGAATAATCCGCCTAGTGGTGTGCAGATCATGGTCAAGAGGAGGGAGAGGAAGTAGACCTTTACTGCACAGTTCTACGTAGATCAGGAGAAGAAACGCAACTTGACTTAATGTACCTCATCAATACTTCTCGCGACTTCTACAATATTGTCACCGGTGACTGGACAGGAGTGAAATAATAGTTCTTCACTTGAAGCTGTAGATATAGCACAATAATCACATTCACCAGCTCAAAGAAGGACATCTCAAGTATAGAGTCTGTATTCAAGAATGAGATCTCTCATTCGATACTGCTAGAGACTTGAACTGCAAGACTTGGATCATCAAGCTGAGCCGTTCCTTTCAGTTGACAAATAACAATTGGCAAGTCTCAGTTGTTAAGTCTCAGTTAGGGCAGCCACTGACACGGTTGATGGTAGTCAAGCAACCATCTCCCCAATGCTTACTGCCGCAGATTCGGCAGCCATTGCGTCTGATGTCCTGATAGTCATACCACATCTGATTACCCGTGCGAGCACAGGTAGATCTCCCCTGGATGAAGATACCGCAGTAGCCCTGGCATGTACCCGTATTCGGTCTCCCGCTTCTGAGAAAGGCTGTCAGATCTAACTCTGTTTTCAGATAAGAGTAGACTTACCCAGGTGCACCATAGTTGACATCGTTGTTACGAATCAGTCTGTTGTTGATGGCTTGATCGCAGTCTCTGACCTGGACCGCACCACAGAGTCCGCTTCCGTTGCAGTCATAGGAATCACGGGCGTCGAGCTTGCTTCTCGGGACTGGAGAGAAGCCTTCGGCCGTGTTGACAGGAGGAGCAGCGAGGCAGCTGCCCTGAGCGAGAAGAAGGGATGAAGTGATGATGGAGAAGCGCATCTTGTCAAGTTAAAGTTGAGATTAGAGATAGTTGTTTGATATTTGGAATACTGCTGTGAGTGAGGATATCAGAAAGATAGAATGAGCGGGAGATGTCGTAGCTTTTATAGATATAGGCCTCGCTAAAGAATTACATAGTTACATCACCGAATTCACATCTTTGCCTGAAAAGCAATGGCTAGACGAGCTTCTTCCACGACTCTCACGGGACGGGGCGACCCAGACGAATCTCTACATGCCGTGCAAGGGATCTCATCGTCTCTCATTCGTTATCCCATACTTTGAGATGTGATCTGATGTGATGGAGGGAGGGAGTGCCGGATGAGTTCGGGACCGAAGATGAAATGTCGACCGAGCTGTATCTGCAGAAACCATGATTGATATGCAGAGCGACTGATTCCACCAGTAACAGCTTACTCAGGGACAAAGAAAGCTCAAGACTTCAGAAATCAATGCCGAGAAAGCCTTAGGCTGAATTACCTGAATACTATTATCACCAAGGATCAAAGGGCCAAGTTTTCTCGCACCCACAAGAATATGTATCAAGCAAGAATCGGCAGTAAATTGAAGGAACTACTGTATGCCGAGTCTCTATAATTCAAATATCAACTACTTTCTATGTGTATACGTCGAAGTATGGCTACTGTCAAGGTGAGAAACCCATACATTATACACTTGTTGACATCATAATATCAATCAATGACTGGCCCTGAGAAAAGGACATCGTCGAACAGGAACGCTAGAACACCTCGGCTGAATAGTATACTCTGAGAAATAAGGTTACATCCCGGCTCATTGCATGGCAACTAATGCAAATGCCCCGCATGATTGCTACGCTGCCACACATGGCCTCTATGTTCCTCCTTCTTATATGACTATGAGATAAAAGGGTTTATAAACATAGTCGGACTTAGCAAAAGGTACTTGAAATGGGGGCGATACTGATCTTCCCTGGATTGCCAGTACATACGAGACACGAGGTCGCCTCTTAGTGGAAAGGATGGCATTACCTAGCCACGTCGCGGCATACGACATGGCGAACGGGCAATGTACGACAGAAAGATGTAAATCACACGCAAGTGAGTGGCACGAGAATTATGTAGCGAGAAAAGCGCCGAAGGTACACGCATGTTGGTGTAACATAGTGGTAGACAGATAAATCTCCATATCCTAGTTCTCATAGTCTATGATCACTCTCCCAACCGTTGTGGCGCCATCAATGAGGATAGCTATTGAGGGCAGAAGTAAAAGCTTTGTCCCCAGGACAGATCAGGTATGATTTAGAAAGTAAAGCATAAGGAACTGGTAGAGTTGTCCGGAAACTCCAATAGGAGAGTAACGATGGATGGGTGGCCCGGCCTCCGAAGCCTGGTGCCCAACCACATAACTAACGGCACAGTAAACGCCTCATTGCTCAATAAACCAATCGGAAGAAAGTGGCAGGCTCATTGTTCCGGATCTCTTTCAGCTGCGGCACGTACATCCAGGCCGGAACTCGCGCGTGCCATGCCTGAGACTATGATCTGCCCCAAGAACAGAAGATGATGTCTCGCCTGAGCCCGGTCCCGAACCGCTTCATAAGCCGCCCATTTGTGGCGTTCAAGATTTGGGTGTGGGTGACTACGGAAACAACATTTAGTAAGGCTAGAGATCAAGAGAGCTTTGCATGAGGGTATGCCAATAGTCGGGATACCATGCTGGGATGACGGACCACAATAAGAAGGAGAAGAAGCAACCCTTAGGTGGGAAATGAATGAAGATAAAGGGAAAAATAGGAAGAAAATTGATTGGAAACACCAATTATCCATTAAATGAACGATTTACTCACGACGTGAGGGAACCATACAAAGTGTGACAAGCAATCCTGTACCACCACCGTCTAGTATCCATGACTGCACGATAGAGCCACATGACGTTGTAATAATCATTGTAACAACCAAATGATCTATTATTCTTCAAGCTTTTCTCTTTGGTATTGCTAGGTTGCAATATGGCAAGTCACTTCAGTGAATTGAACGTGATGAGGCTCACGCTGTGACGTTATGAGAGTAGACATGTTGAGACTCGAGACAAATCAGCACAAAGAACTTACTAGACATGTCACTAAGAGATCATACAGGTCTGGACATTTTGAGAAACAAAAACGACGTCTTTTCATCAATGACTGGTATATATGTTATTGCAACCTCTTTCATCATCCGAGGTGCCGCTGTGATGTATAATCAATCATCCCATATGCTCCAATAACCCTAACTCCTTTTATTCAATTCCAATGCCAGACCAAACAAAACCTTTCGAATATTCATCCAGAAAAAATAAGATCCGCCAATAATGGAATTGCGGACAGTCCCTCACAACCAACAACTTCCCAAACGAACAGTGTTTCGAGACCGTCGTCTGCTCTTATAAGACATAGCCGTCTCCTTAGAGCGGTACAACCTCTGGTCAACCTTGTTGCCATACTGGTGAGGATTTACGTGATCCTTTTCTTCCCCAGTATAGCTCCCAAGGCACCTATCCCCAGTCTTGTCCAAGAGAAATCTGATGCCATCAGCAGCAACACTGTCGACTCTATCGCAGACAACCAAGAGAAAGTCCAGCGCGCCTCGAAGAATAGCAGCGCGTTCATTGGCGTCACGGTAGGCATCAGCTCTTGCAAGACGGCGTTCTATTTCTAGGTCTTGTGCTGCAAAAGGCGAGTCTGGATCAAGTTCTTCTTCCTCATCGGAAGTGCCCTGGGTCTCCTCGTAGCTCATTTCGCTAACGAGGTTGAAATCGAGATAGGACTTGACCTTGGAATTTAGATCGAAAGTAACCCTTGCGCCTTTTGATGGCTTGAGTGCTGGGACAGGATCACAAGGGCTGTCTTCCTCGATTCTGTCAAGAACAATGCCAGCCCGAGAAGTAGGTGGCTTGAGGCAAGACTTTGTTGGTGAGAGAGTGGCGTGCTTGGGTTGGTGGACTGGCGCCTGAGGCTCGTGTTTGCTACGCATCTTGAAGAGATTCATGCAGCAAGCTACACGACTAATGTGACTGTCCTCTTCTCGCTTGACAAATTTGGCGTCTCTTGTGGACTTGGCCTCAGTAGGAGGGAACACCACAGCCTCTTCAGCCTCGGGAACAGGTTCATCCTCAATACTGCAAAAAACAGCAGATTGGGGCTGAGCAACCGAGTTTGTGATGGTAACAACGCCAGAGTTGACTTGCTCAATGTCTAGAGATTCCATGGCTGAGCGAGGAGTCATACCCCAGATAGCCCGACGTGCCAACCTGGCTACCTCTTCTTCTTCTTCAGGACCGATGTTTCTGGCAGTGGAAGCACTTTCATCCCCTTTAGTCGGAGAGTTGTCTCCAGAAGATATTTCCTCATCTCCACTCTGGGTTTTGCCAGGCTCGTCCTCTGATGTATTGGCCAAAGTGCTGAGTCTTGCCATTAAATGCTCAGGCTCGACCCCAGAGGTAGAGTACTCTCCCGTCCAACCAAGCCTAGAAATGCTAGTGGTAGGAGTAACAGGATCAGATTGAGAGTATTCCTCTGTCCAATCGAGCTCAGACGTGCCAGTGAAAGAGGTACTAGGATCAGAGTATTCTCCAGTCCAACCAGATTTAGGTGATGGTTCGCTTGAAACAGAGATGCCATCACTGCTCTCGGCTGGAGTATTGGGAGGAGGAGCAGGACATGGGAAAGAAATACCAAAGATGGTGCCGCTTCCAGATGTAGCACCAGCGTCTTCCTGGTCAGATGGCGTAACCGATGTCTGGGCCAAATCATCGACAGAAGATGGTGAGGTAAACACAGAAGGTGTGATAGAAATTGTGTTTTGCGGCAAAGAGGATTTCAGTCGGAGTGGTAGATCAAAGCTGACGTTAAGATCCTCGGCAACCTCCTGTGGGTTATTGGTGATAGTTGTGCTAGACATTGTGACAGGATGTGGAGCACAGAGCTGTAAAGTATGGTGATTTGATGGAGAGTAGTGAGAGCAGTGAATAGAGTATCAAAGGAACCAATAAAGTGAAGAGAAGTCAAGTGACTGGTGATCCAAGACTTGAATAAGCAGTACACACGATCTGGAAGATAGCAGCAAGTTGAGATTGTAAGAGAAGCGTGAAAAGAATCTGTGCTTGCAGTATGCTTGAGAAATGTGTGGGATGCTGAAGAGAAATTTCCAGGGAGAAGAATGGCACGAAGAAGGGGAATTTATATGCCTTGAACCGAGACTATCTACAGGTGACCTGAAAGTTATATAGTTGAGAGTTCGTGAACAGACTACTACGTGGCGAATGAGAAGCCGAACAGAAGAGTCATAATCATTGTGATAGGCCGCGTGGAAAAGCCTCTTCAAATTGTGCTCATTACCGTCGACAGTGCCAGAGTATAAAATAGAGAAATAAGTCAATGAGACAATATTACTTGGAGAACACGTTAAAAGACTAAATAAACACAAGAGTTAGTTCGTTTGGTTTTCCAAGAAAGGGAAACGAGAACACCAGGGATGTGGTAGCCCGTTCTCTTATTATCTTATACTGCTTGGTTTTGAGCCTTGATGTCTTTATCTCGTGAGTTCCAGTACTCTGACCTGTGTAAGCTTCTCACATGGTATAGAAGCTACGGCCACGAGTCACTGGAAAGGTAACGCCGAAGCATCTGCGGTGAAGCGAATGGAGAGACATAGTTCGTAGGGAGGGCGTTCACGTAGTATTTTCCCTCGAACGAGCTATGGCGCGAGTACATGGCGATTACTGCACAGAAAATGTGCTCACCAGAAAGAGGGAGCATAAAAGCCACAGTATAAGGACTTTGAGAGCACCTTGTGGCTGGATGTGAGAGGAAAAACCAAGTTACTTTCTTGAACCATAGTCGTGATTGGTCGGTGCCTAAAGAATAATTGATGAGTCACAAAGGACGAAGCTTTCCTTCTGCCGCCCTAATTCATCCATAAAGAGAGCACTAAAGTTAAAATCATAGCCCTTCAGTTTTATCCCTAAACGTGCGGTGGCCTACATTCAGTGGATGTGAAGAATCCGAGGCCTCAAGTTTGCGGGAGCCTCACAATCCTGTGGGTATAGACTCCAATTGGCTGACTTATTTTCATCCAATTACCGGTGAGATGGCCGAGTTGGTTATGGCGCCAGGTTAAGGTTAACCTTAACACCAAATTTCCTGGTGGAGCAATCCTCCTGGGTTCGAGTCCCAGTCTCATCAACCTATCATTTTTGCATTCTGTCCCCTTGGGGATCACGGATCAAATCTATTGTATTTTTGCTTTAATAAACTGTCTATTGACTTCATTCGTGCTACGAAGATTAGTTTGATATAGATGCTTCTATGGTTTTCTCAAGTATTTATCCCCAAGCTTAACCCTATCCTCCCAATGTTCATCCATCGTGATTTGTTGCCGTCTAGACATGCTTTCACGGTACCTCTTGAAGGATTCTTGCTGGTCACGCCATCGTTTCATTTCTTCCCCGACGAATGAAGAGATGACATCTGCGCACTCAGAAACCTTCTCCATCGGTATCAAATGGCCACAGTCAAGAGTCTCCTCTTGAACTCTACCAGCAGCTGCACCTCCGCTGCCCCCAACTCCGGTGCCTGTTGTCAGCATTTTCTCCTCTCGTCGTTTTGGCGATGAAAACTCTGATTCCTTTCCGAAAACGAATAGGGTACTTGGTCGAAGCTCTGGTAACTGGCGAAATATCTTTGGCGGCTCTGGGCGATGGAATGGGTAGTCCGGGCAGTCTTTATTCTGTCCTGGGTCTTGGTCGTTGAATGACTCCCAGTCTCGTGGTAGGTATGTCGGTCGAACGAAGCTAAAGAGCTCTTGATGCTTCGAAGTCGTAAGCGTAACTCGCTCATCTGGACTTGAACCCTCTTCCTTCGGATGAAGCTCAGTCGGAAGATCTCGAAGCCCATGTCCTATCCAAAGGTCCAGAACACGAGCATCCCAAGACTGGAAGAACTTGCTCTTCTTGAACCTTGTAATGGCATCTTCCCTTGATGACCAGATATCCCGCCTCTTTGTGGAAAGGCCGGCGAGGGAAATGCTTGGGTTCGGTATCTGGATAATGGGGTCGATAAGTACTAATGAGTCCAGAAGCCTGGGGTGCCAAAGTGCCAACTGTGCCCTTTTTTATCCAGTCAGACGATTCTTCAATTGTCACGGCGTCGGTGGTGGCTACTCACAGCTGAGTTCCACCCATACTATGACCGATGCCAACGATCGGATGAGGGATGTCTCGTTGGTGCTGGTTAATGAGGTTCATTAGATCCCTTGAATGGTCAAACCAACTGACTGGTATATGTGAGAAATGACGATGGTCCATGATTGAGATGTTACTCACGATCGTTGCCGAGTACTCTCTCATTAATAACCCCTGATTGTCCTTGATTCCATACATCTGCAATCCATATCGATCGAATCCTGAGATCTTGTTGTCTTGCTCGGTCATAAAGCTCATCCCATAAAGGCTCATACAGTTCCTGACAAGTCAGTTCTAGTTTCATACCGAGAACCTTTAGCTTCGTTACCTTTGGAAAACCATTTGCGTGAGCACCAATAACGGTTACATCGCCAGGTTGAGGATTAGGGTTGTCGTGGGGGACGTATTGCTTCACAGCAAGCTTTGGTGTGTCTTCATCGCCATTTGCCGTCTCAGCGAGATATTCTCTTGAGTGGCTGCAGTCAATAGTATGCTCAATAGCCCGATAATTCACTGGTGTTGATATGTATCTGGCTTGGCTTATTGGTAAGATGTGCCTTCTAACGTGCGCCGTCCGAAAGGAGGAACGTGGTATAAGCCTAGACCACATTGAATTATCGGGCTGTAATCTAACGAAGAGCCTCTAAAACGTGGAATACAATACGATGTTAATACTAATAGTAGTTGAAGGACGATGGGCTCTCTTGGTGGTCCAGGGAAGATAAGATAAGCTATTCCAAACAGGGTAACGCTGACCTCGGTAGCTCGGTTACGATCTGCGCCCTTCTCGTCAAACGAGATCTACACGCTTAAGCCGATGCTACCACGCATAAATACGCCCTGTGGATGGAGCTGGCCCGAAAGGTAAGATAAAATATTAGTTATGTTGCAGTCTGTCAGCCTCGGAGGGGTTTCAATTCATATCCACACTGGCAGATTGGTAATAGGTAACGATGGTTGCAAATCTCAACCATTCAACTGGTGGACAATCACAGCTAGAGCTTCGGCTTTTGTGTTTTACAATCTTCATGTGTACTTCAAAACTATTCAAGCTCATTTCTTAGTGTTACGAAGCCCTGCTAAACTCTTCTAAACCATTGTGACCGATGAAACTTAATCTCAGATGGACAAAGAGCCCCAGATAGCTGCTATGGCACGAATTTCATACCAGAGTCGCAATAGCTGCAGCAGTTGCCCAAATACCCTGTAGAAAGTCGCCTTGACAGTCCAACCCAGCCAAGTAACGCTGAACAGCTACACTGGTGATAGTCGATGCTACAAAGCATGTTGCGACTTTGCGTGACAGTCCTGGCTGCAGAATAGTGGTCCCAACGATAAGATCGAAGATAGGAATGACACGGGACAAAGTCGACCCATCATCGGGGCTTCGATCATTTTGATATTGATAGAAGGATGCAGTTGATGTTGCACCATGGCTAAATCGTGAGGCGCTGCCGTAGAAGAGGAGTAGTGCCAGTGATATCGGTAGATATTTTTTGAGCAACGTGATAGACATTCTTGCAGTATTTGTGTTCGACCAGGTACTTGTAAATATTGAAAAGGCAAAGAAACAAGACGAATACCAGGCAAGATTGATCCTAGAGGCGGCTGCTCATGATAAATGGCATTCTCTTGAGTAGCATCGCTAGGGCTGAGTCAGACGACTTGCGAATGGCTGCAACTCGCAAGGATCAACTCCACACGGAATGAGACACTATCGCGATACGATCAAGCATCGCGATAATTACTAATCAGCCTGTAACATCAATAAGCCATTTGACTGAAAGTCCAATACGTATCCCTTGTGAATGCCAAGCCACGACAAAGTGCACGCATATTACACTAAAGTGGCTTTCGTGAACATCCAATAAGAAAACTCGGATTTTCTTATGACCGGAAATAAGTAATAAACTCAAAGCCCCGGAAAGTGAAACATCGCAGCCCGCGGGCATTTCGTATTCTTAGACTTTTTCGATATATACGTCATCCCGTTCCTTCCGAGGCATCTTCGAGTCTATTCTGCAACTCTTCACCGCCTTAATTCTTGTCTCCAAAAGCCCATCCAGTGTCTCGACTTTGGGTAGAACAAAACATCACAATTTGCGGAATTGATCGACCATGGCAACACCGTTTTGGGGTCCTCAGACCTCGTACTTAAAGTAAGTTCTTTGGTTGATTGGAATTGACAAGATTTACTGACTTTTGTAGCTTCTGTGAAGAGGTAAATACCGCAATGGTCTCCCTTCACTCAAATGGAGTTAACGTGTCGTTTTAGGATTATGTTATCACACGGTACATCGCTGAGTTTATAAATACTCTTAGTAGTTTCACATATGGTAAGTGATGTTATCATTGGCTGGGGTCTGCAATTGACCTTGTTACTAGTGGCATATGGACTCTATGGCTTGTTGACGTCGCCTAAATTCCCGACGGGGCCGCGCTTGGCCTCGTACTGCGGACTAATAGGCGTGGGGATATGTTCAGCTGGATATCACATGACGTTGAAGTATCATACTCAAATGTGTAAGTGTATCTCTGTCTCGGTGAAAGGAAGGCCTAATAGTTGCTAGCTGATGAGCTGTCAATGCATCTTCTCACTACACCCCTCATCTACCGTCTTCTCAGCTTCAAAGCCAGCCCTCAAAAGACTCGAATCATCGGGACCGTTCTTTCAATATTATTCACGATTGTAATGGTCACTCATATGGTCATGGACGAGTTCCTTCTACACGCCACTACTTTTGGCTTGGGCATTTATGTCATTGCTACTCGTGTGCTGAAGGTTATTCCTCAGCAAGTCAAAGACCCCATTGTCAGGAAGAAGTTTCAGAACATGGCTATTCTTGGACTCGGTACGTAACACAAAGAGCATCTAGCCACTGAGCGGGGCTAATTTGACAGGATTCTTCGGCTTTGGATACGTTGTCTGGCTCATCGACGAGTTTGCTTGTCGGTATCTGACGAGTGCGAGACATGCAGTTGGCCTGCCTTTCGCGTTTCTTCTGGAGCTTCATGGATGGTGAGTTGTTTCCAGCTTTATGAGATTGAGTCAAGCTAACATCTTTCAGGTGGCATGTATTCACCGCCATCGGAGGTTATACCGCGGTTGCGGTCATCGATGTCGTTACGACAGGGGAGGTGATTGAAGACCCTACAGACAGCTTTGCTTGGCCCGTTCCTTTTGCAGCCAGACTGATGTCTGGAACTTCTGGGCCAGTGAAGAAAGGCTAATCTTGGTGGAAGAAAAATATGAACTAAAATCCAGAGGACGAGTCGACATACAGCCAAGGGTCGGGGAGCCCAATGGAGTGGCTCTTGCATTGGTCTCATCGACCAGATAGTAGCTACAAGCTATAGTTTCTAGAACGTACTAAAAGATATATAGACTGACGTAGAGCCATCAATCAGTGCCTGACTCACATTTTGACCCAAATGATTCCATGTTGCAGTGGGGCCTTTGACCCGGTATAGGATCCATCTTCCAAGAGTCAACAGTCCCATTCAATTCCGGAAGAACGGATAAAAGATCGCTAGGATCATGAGATGTTCAATAAATCGTGTTTTATGAGATGATAATTTGAAGACATCACGAATCTGCCTCTATTGCGGCGAAGAGCCGCCGCAGCCCGCAACTGATGACGCCGCAGAAGCCGCATCCGCGCACAAGACAAGGCCAGAATCAAGAAAGATGCGGATAGAAGGACCCCGCGGGGACCCCGCAAGATCAATAAGCTTATCATGAGATTATTGCGGATTTGCGGATGGACGGAAGGACAAGGGTTGAGAAGTTTTCATCATGAACGGAGGATCTAGTGCAGCGGTGACGATGGATCGTGAAATGACTGGAAATTAAAAAGGAGAGTTTGGGTGAGAAGTAATTCAGATGTCGCAATTCAAGATCTGCGCTCTGAAATCTCTGTTAGCTTAAGCGTCATGATAAATAATTCACAAACCGGTTCGAATGCCGATATCGCCCGACTCATGAGTCCCGTTCTCCCGGGTTGAGTTCATTAGTGCCAAGCGCTAGCTGCCCAAGAGCAAAAATATTAGCGTCATAATATTCGTACACTTCTCCGATGAGGCTCCGCTCAGAATCAAATTCTCAAATGACATCTCCGGCGGATGACAAGCTTATCCACTCGACCGGGCCAAGACTAACAAAACAAGTTACGACTCCACGGATTTCTTATCTATGAGCTATTAAGCATAAAATTACCTCTCCCATGATCAGCGGTGGCGCAAAAAGTGCGGGATGCATTACCGAAATGGGGAAACAAGCTTAATTCGTCTCCCAAGTGCCCAATCTCTCTGTATCTTTCACATTTCCAACTCTTCAAATTTTTGAGGGTAGAAGGAGTTGCGTAGAACTAAACAAGATGCCGTTGAGCCTCATCTGCAGGTGTGTCGTATCCCGACTTTGTACCGCAAGCCACCACATCCGCATCGGGAAACATCCAAGAGATAAGGATGCTTCTTGAACCGGTCTAGACTCTTGGCCGCTGGAAGCTAGTACAGTGGATTACGTACGGAGTTTTCTCGACATTGCTCGGCATGGTGGGAACGGGGCGGTTTAGAGTGCCGACACCAAGATTGGGAATTTTTCACCGCAGGGGAGGATAAGAACGGGAAGAGGCCCGCGGAGGAAGATGAAGGTTTTTTTTTGGTGAGTGTGAATATCTGTTTTGCTTTGAGAGTCGAGTCACCGAAAATGGCCAAGATGACTATTGATCTTGCGAGCCCTTTGGCTTATACGCCTGCTGAGACGGCGGAACTTATTTGTCGAGCTGGTGTGAAGAAGGGGAGATCGAGACCGGATAAGGTGTTGCTGTCTGGTATTTCTGGTGGATGCATTCTTGCGTTTGGATGTGCTGTGTCGTTGACAGCTTTGACGGCACCATGGTATCAGGAGAACGCACCTGGTCTGATCAAACTCATTGGAGCTATTGTCTTTCCTTTGGGCTTGGTCACTGTGATATTGACGGGTGCCGATCTATTCACATCGACGAATCTGGTGGGTTGTCTTATATATCAAGTCTTAGGAAAGATTTAATCTAATGGATGTTTAGTTCACCTTTGTTGCTGTTCTCAATGGACGATTATCGATCTGGAGAATGTTGCTCCACTGGTTCCTATGCTTCTTTGGAAACTTAGGTGGCTGTCTCTTTGTCATGACCATCATCGTGGGCTGTAAGTAGCCATATCAACCATTACTCACATGTCACCTTCTGACCTTATCATTAAGACGGCGGCATATTTGACGCAGATATATATCGTGAAGAAATCATCGCCTTCACGACAAAGAAGCAGTTGACCCCCGAGGCCTACCAGATCTTCCTTCGTGCTATTGGCTGTAACTGGCTTGTTTGCCTGGCTTGTTTCCTCGGCGTACAAGCAAAAGACTTGACGTCCAAGGTCGTTGGAATGTGGATTCCCATTTTTGCCTTTGTGGCTTTGGGTTTTGACCACGTCGTTGCCAATATGTTCTTTATGCCTTTGGGTATCTGGATGGGTACACCTGGTTTGACAGTTGGACTTTATATCTGGAAGGGTAAGTCTGTCACATCATTTGTCTCAAAGTCCTTGACTAACATACATAGGTATGATTCCAGCTCTCTTTGGAAATATCCTTGGAGGCAGCTTATGCTGCGGTGTATACTTTTGGTGGATGTATCTTGTAGACGTTGACGACGAGGAAGAACCTCATGGCAAAGGTGTTTTGCATAATCATGGACATGACAGTCCTTCGGATGAGGAGAGTCAGATGGAGTCACGATAAAAAAACACTTGTCAGCGGGACTGTACAAGATGCAATAGAGTATAGACTAAAAGGAGGAAGAGCTAATGAGTGGATAATCGAGTAGACATAGAGTATACTACATAATAGAACCGGAGAATTAAGGACTTCCACTATATCTTGTGACGCTTCGGTGATTGTGAAAAGTGACTGTTAGAATGACTGAAACTAATCAAGAGCCAAGAAAGCAGAGTTTTGGTTCCCATATTTATATGTTTCAGAGCTGAATCATTTGCCTTTATTTTGATATAGTCCTTGAGCTATTGTTCATTCCTGTCCTCATGGTTCTATGACTATCCTTCCAAAAGAGTCACTTTCGCCGTTTTACCCGTCTGCGCGACAGCCATCTGAACCGCGGCAGAGTTTGACCATCATCCCATGACAATGCCCATGATGGCAATATTTCATGATTGTACCTCATCATTCTGTGATGGCGTCCTGATCTTGACAATAGTCCGTGCCGTTTCCAGGAGACCTTCGATCTCTGTACAGGCATCAACCTGCCCCTTGGTCATTGGGGATTCCCTCAACAGTCCAATCATAGGAAGGAAATCCTCAAAGGCTCCGTCGATGTTTCGATACTTGTAAAGGGTGTTTAAAATACCAGCTGTAGTCTTGTCCACTTTGGAGAAGTCTTCCCGATACCTATCCCACTGCTGCTCATAGTCCATTGATTTGGCCTGTGGCCCGTCGAAAAGCCCAGCCGCTCTGAAACACATGCGAATGACTTTGCCCAAGCTTCCCTGACCATTCTCAGCATCTGCAGCTGGGAGTGTCTCTTGGATTTCGGACTTCAACGACTGTACTTCGGAGAGGAGATCCCGGGCTTCGTTCAGACTTGGATTAGTTGTCCACTCGAGATACTGTCGCATCGGATACCAGTCAAGAGACCGAACACCCAAGCCGTCAATAATGTCGAGAATCTGGGTTCTGAGCTCGATGCTTAGGCATCGCTTCGCCAGCTTGACTCGCTTGGGAGCAGGCGTGAAGTGTTCCTCTGGAGCTGCTCTTTTCAACGAACCGCTTGCTACTTTCTCCAGCTCGCCTTTTTCATGAAGGCTTTTGAGGTCATTTTCCATGCCTTTCCAGGATGGGGTGAGGGTTTCGAGATTGAAGTTCCAAGCAGAGCGTTTCTTACCCAGGTAAGTGAAGACTTTCATGAGCTCCTTTGCCTTAGTCTGGATGTCCTTGAATATGTAATCAGGCAGATGTTTGGAAATAGTAAAGTTCTTAGTGAAGAACTCTACCATGCCGAAATGCCGCTTGACGCATTCTGTGATGTACTCATCTTTCCAGCAGCCAAACCCAAGATGTGGGAACAGAGGGCCAATTGTCTTCGCAGCACCTGTTAGAGCTTTGACTCCGTAAAGCATCGGTTTCCAGTAGGTGGTCGAAGGATCGCCGTCAAGTCGGTACACAGGGTCATTTATCATTTCTGAAAACACCCATTGCGGACCACCAATAGACCGTAAACCACTGGGTCTATCTATACCTTGAAGGTAGTCAGGGAACCCCATAGTACGCACATCATTCAAACAACAGAGTGTGTGAAGGTCAGAAGTTGGCTTCTCAGCATGATTGCATTCTTGAGGGAAAACCATAGAGGTTCCTGGCATGGACGCAGGTATGAGAGTGAATCTAAAGTCCTTGGGTACTTGCGGATGACGTGACCGTATCTCCAAGTACAATGATAGCATGAGAGTCTCATCCAGGGTCTGCCCATTCTGGGCACCACTGAGCAGGGTGTTGCGAGGAGTGTCAATTTCGTAAAAGATGCCTGATATCTTTCGTTTGTCACGGGAGTAATGCAATGCCGCAAACCGTGTTGGGTGAATGAATGCCGTCAGGTGGTTGACCTCCACGAATCTTAGCATGTGAGCAAAGTATATGACAAAAACCGAAAGAGAACACTCTCCCAATGGGGGTGCTTCGTGGTTCCCTAAGCCGATAAGCCCTTCCCCTTGATTTTCACCTGCTTCCTTCAGGTCAAAGTAGATGATTGTTGCAGCCAATGCTATGTTCAGTGTAACATTGTCTTGTCGATGACAGCGCTGAAATTCCTCGATTGCTTCGATCATGTCGATAGGAAACTCCAAGGCAGCCAACGGAGGCCACTGCAAGACGTAGTGCAGGCTGCAGTAATCCTTATTCCCATGAATAGAGCGACAGATCGTGGGCTTTCGCTCTTTGACTTCGTTCGATGGAGGGATCATGGCAACGCCTGCAGAGGTCAAACCATCTTTGAGCTGTGAATGTTCCCGCGCCATGATCTTTAGAAATTGAGTCTTTTCATCACCCTTCAAACGACCCCAGAGTGCATCCTTGGCATATTCGATATTGCCTGGGACCAGCATGCTCTCAGTCCAGATAATATCGTGGCCATCAACAGCTTGCTTTGATATGGACTGAAACTTGACCGTGTATGTCTTGTCGAGATTCAAGGGGTTTTTAACAATGTGATCACAATTCACACAAGATTCATCCCTCAACATAATAACTCGTTCGGCGTTGATCGCGGAAATCCCAACAACGACACCATTGACTCTGCTCTGCGTTGTAAGCTGCGGACAGGCAGCTATACCCAGTAATTTCCTCATCTCACGAAGCTTGACGATCCGAGATTTGCATGTCCTGGCGAGGAGCTCAAACTCCCAATGCTTCTCCGTAGGCATTCGAACAGGAACTCCAGTTTCCTTGGGAAACGGCTCCCATACGTTCCGGTCCGTCGGTTGAAGTGTATTCTCCAAAGACTCGGCTTCCTAATCCCAATCTTTGTCGTATTTCTGACGGAGGCTTTCCGCTGGTAGACACTGTCTCCAATTCTTTCCAAAATATTCCTCAGGATTGTCGAGGAATCTTTCTTCGTCCATGAGGTCCTCCGGATTCCCCACCCGAGACTGGAAGGTGTGAAATTCTAGGGTCTCGCCATATTCGTGTTCTTTGCCTTTGACCCTTACAGTAGGCTTTGCTTTTGTAAGGACTGACGGCCCTGGTGTGTTATCCGCCATTGTGGTTGATCAAACTCTGGAGGACAGGCAATTGTTGCAGTCATTTGTTTCAACGCTTTGTAAAAATTATTCCCGAATCATAGACCTAGGAACAGAGGGCGAAGGTTCGTGCAGAGGTAGGGTGATGGTCCGGCGACTGGGTAGACTGGAAGGGCCGCGAGCTGACACAAGTCAACACGATATAATAGAAAGCGTCCACGATTATCAGAACCTTTCTTGCATGCGTAATTACAAATGGAATTACAGAACCCCAAGTTGTGTTGGACGTTCGAAAGATGAGAGAAAAGCCCCGGAAGGTCAATGATGCTTTGGATGTTCCAACTTGTTGCAATCGACGTCTGTCGCGACTGACGGCCAAGGAACCAACAAAAGGTACAGGCGATATACCACGAGAAGCGAGCTCGATGAAAGATAGCTATGGAGTGACAGATGAAAGTGCGTGGATCGTGTTGTAGACTAAAGAGGGCGTTAGTGATGATCGGCTGAAATTCTTTTGACCTCCTCCTACCGAAGCAGAAAAGGCGTAAGATATCGACGTCACGAGACTTTGAATGAAGTCGAACCTAAGGGAAAGTATGATCCCTATGTCGCTGGCCCCATTAACCATAGATTAAAGTTTTGGGAGACTGTTGTTGTTGAGTTATTAGATCCTCATGAGTTGTTGAGAGGAGGAGTTAAGGAGAGAGAGAGGTGGTTAAGAGAATGGAGCATCGAGGCTGAAGAAACAAATAAAAATTACGTCATCAACCAACAGTGCACAGAAGCACATGCGCTAGGTAGGCTAAAGCTATGGTCCTTATTCCAATGGGATTTATGCAATACAGTGAATCATCGACCACATACTCCACGAAACTCCCAAGACACATGAAAACGCTCCAATCCCATGCCGAATGCAAGTCCCAACAAAATTGTAGCTCCAGAAATGCCCAGCTCCCAAACAACCGTGGCACCTAGTGGCCCGGGGCAGCCTGAATCATCAGAGGTGGCTGCAGACGCACCTCTCCAGCAGTCATCTCTCGAATATAGTCCTGGTAAGGTTGAAGTCTCATGGCAATGGTACCATCCTCTCCGCAGATCTCATCAACTAGTGTTAGACTTTGCGAGATATCCAAAACTGACAGGACAGCATTGCGAACGTCGTCAGGATGTCTTCTGAAGAACTCGTGACTCATGAGTCTGATTATAAAACGTCCCACTCGAAGTTGAAATGGGTAATTCATCGCGTCTTCGTCGATGCAAACGGCACTCAGATGCCTCAAAATGCTAAAACTGTTATCATCCTGTTCGTTATGTATAGGGGAGCACCTTACGTCGCTGGATCCTCGTGGCGGTAGATTAGTCTACCGACGAGAGGGGAGGTCATCATGGACGGCATCTCGACCCACTTGATGGTGTAAGCGCCCTGGGCATCGTAGTAAAGGCCCTCGACGATGCTTTGGAGTACCCTGACGACTCGCGCAGCGTGCTTGAACAGCCGTGCCATGATATATTCCTCCTGATGTACGTTAGTACCGAGAAAAGACAAAGATATTCGATAACGTACATGTCCATAGATTTTAGAAACATGTGGTTTCTTGAAATCATCTGCTACTCTCATGAGAGTTTCTGCAGCGATCTTTAGGATCGGAGACTCTCTGGGCAATGGATTTTGCGCCTTTCAACTCAGTTAGTGAAATGCTTATTCCACCAGACACTCAACTCACTGTGACAGGCGAGCCATCGTTCCTCGCCCTCTTCTCAACCAACTGACCAGTAGAGTCAAAATGATCCAGATCTTCAACAATTTGAAGAGCCTTGTCGCCTAGGCTAGTACACAGGCGCCCCAAAAGTGCGTTGATGTCACAACGACTAGATAGGTAAGAATATTAGTACATGTCGCAGCAACAGTGAGCTCTAGTCTTACTAATCAAAATAGTCTTTCTAGAGACGAGTTAGCTGAAGGGGAACTAATGGAAGAGCCTCGTTTGCTTACCGCACGACAGTTTTCGAATCCCATCTTTCGGCGAAGCAGGTCATTCAACTTCTCGCACTTTGACTGGTCGCCCTCAAAGCTAAAACATATTAGACCGAGAAAGAGCTAAACTGGTGGAGAACTCTTACTGCTCGAGCATAGACTTCTTGTCAAAGAAGCTAATGTTGTGCTGTTCACTTGAAGTAATTGGCTGAGATCCAGCCGACGCGATGTTGCGTCGAAGTTTCTGAAAATCCCGCAGGAGCGCACCGAACATCTTAGCCCAGCCAGCGACTATAAACATGTCAGGTCCCGTCAATGAAAAGTAGTTGATAGTCGACTTACTCCTTTCTCCTACTGTTGTAAGGTAGGATGTTCTAGAGTCTGGCTCGTACACGAGACACTGTACGTCCCTATGACCCATGGCAAAGTTTCTGAGTCGGTAGAGAAGCATTGCGATCTTGGTGTTCAGGATATCTACGGCACGAGCCATGAGGATCTGCTCCGTGTTTTCGAGGACGTACTCGTGGGTGACGCCAAGGTTGAGCCAGTGCTTGGATCGGCGGGCGTCGAGACCAGTGACGAAGTGGTATTGCTACATCAAATGTCAGTTGCCACCAACGGTTACGCATCATAGATCTCTCATCTTACAGCACGAAGGTCCTAACAGTAGAGTTAGTCAAACGGTCCAACGTAGGAACAACGGGCGCTACGTACCAAAACATGATCAGGAGTCAGAGAGCACATATGCTGAGCCCTGGCTTGGTAGGGCAAGACATGACAGCAGTGCCTCAGCTGTTCAAGAGCTTCGTCTTCGATTATTCGCTCTTCCACGAGGGCATTGGTATCATTGGTATCGGGGTTGGGAACGAGGTAGACGATGCCAAGCTCCTTCTGGCTTTGCGCAAGCCAGAGCCAAAGTTGGCGCCAGATGGTATACCGTTTTTCTCGGCTGAACAGTTCTTCCATTTCGCAGGGCCTGTTGCGCACCCTGGTGAGGGCAGTAGACGATGATCCTGCGTTAGACATGCTTACTAGGGATATGGTTGAAGGGTAAGTGAAAATGGGAGCGAAACATGGTTGTAAAGACTTTCGACAGAATTAAATAACGGCAAAGACGTGGCTTTAACGTGTTGGAGCCCTCTCTTGGATAGAGTTTCGCTTGGCAAAGTGATGCTTGTGATGAGGGTCAGGGCTCAGGTATCGTAACTTTATCTTGGTGTTGACCGAAGACCGACGACTGGATATCGTGAATTTAACAAAGCTACATCAATACTGAAGACCAATGAATAAAGCACAAAGTTCACATAAACTTGATAGGAATATTGTGACGCATCAGTATTGAAACATGTGATGATATTCGGAAACCTAACTTTTACGTATCCACTTCTCGACAACAGCATGTATCTCATCGCTGTTCTTTTCCATGAAAAGCATATGCCCATTCCCATGAATACCTATAGTTCCCAACTCAACATGGTCTGTCTTCGAACATCCCGCTTGTCTATAATACGCAGCTGTACAGTGCTCATATGGCATATGGTATGAAGCCTCACCTGTGACAATAAGAATAGGAATATCCACCAAGTTAACTAACTGTCGGGGCGAAGGTTCATCTGCTTGAAGTATACACTCCGTAGAAAGGTTATCTTTCTGAGCATGAACCTTTTGCACAAGGTCCTTCTTCGGGTCTTCCACAGGAGGGTTATACGTGATAGGAACATCCCACAGCCCCCAGGGCCTAGGAAACTCGCCACCGAACTTGAATATCTCATCTTTGAACGGCGGCCCAGCAGCTTCCAGCAACACGATACTCTTCGTGAGCTCCGGCCGTATGTCGGCGATCAAAGTAGGCATAAAACTTCCTTGACTATGTCCCAGAAGAACAGCCGGTTTCCCAATCCTATCCAGCAAGGCTGCACCAGCTGCTTGAACCGAAGTCTGCTGATAGGTCGTGTTATCAACAAACTCCACATTCGAGCTGTAAAACGCGTCAAACACTGGATCGCCCCGGACTCCAGAGCCAGGCCATTGGGTATGGTTCACAGCCTGGGGCCAGAGCATATGCGTCCTCGAATCAGTAAACGCAACCTCCACAGCCTCGGCCGAAAGAGTACTAAGCTTGGCAGCGCCTTGTCCCGGCATCCAAGCAGATCTTCCCCGGAAAGTCTGATCTACAATGTACACCTCGTAGCCCTGCTGAATGAACCTCGAGGCCCAACCGACTCCGCCGTCGGGCTTGTTCAGGAAATTCTAAGTGGCGAAAGCTCAGTACACACACACGGCTTCCGAAACTTGACGGAGACTGAAACTCACCGTGCCTGTCTGCGCCATACCGTGGATCATAACGATAGGCGTATCTTTCCAGGCTCCCTTCACGGGGGCGAGTTTCTCAACATACATCTGGTCCCGAAAAACATGGCCCCCGTCACCGTCATCGTCGTACCGCCCGCCGACGTAGAAGAACGATCGTGTAGCGGGTATTTCAGAGCGCACGGCATCGGAGTATTTTCCGATCGTCGCTGCGATTATAGCAGCGAGAATAGAAAACTGCATGGCTAAAACAGGTAATTGTGGTTTGTTTGACAAGGGAGAGGGAAAATGTCATTGCTGACGGTCGGTGTTGGGATCGGCAGCGCGTCTCCGCATCATGCGTGTTACGTGATAAGACAAGGCTGAGTGAGCCGCAGCCAAACCGGGCGAAAAGTTTATCATCTCAGCGACCGAAGATTCCAGCGATTATTGTGGCTGGACGACATTTTGGGGGTTTACATAAAAAGCCTCTGATGTCAGCGGAAGCACGTAATACTATTATCTTTAATCAGAGTCATTTTCAGTGTCTTTGTAAGAACTTTAATTCACATCTCATCCCGAAGCTCCGTTACTGTACGGAGGATGGGCCGAAAAGTCTTTGCTCAAAAGAACTTACGCCACAACCAAGGACCCTTGTCTGGTACTATAAGGTACAAGGTCTCTAGATTGTTATAGAAGGGACCCTCTGTAGTAGCCCTATAGCTATAGGGCCTATAGTGGCGAGTTTAAAATGAATTACTGGCTTGACCCCCTAGAATTAGATTACGATCAGCAGCTGGTTTCTTGCTTGATGTATTTGATGTATCTCGAGATAAGTGGGTCCCTTAGCCACAGTTCTTTTGGGCAAGCTTTGCGGCCGAACCTCTTTACTATTGACCAGACCTCGCAAGTACACCATCTTGTCAATTGAGGCCCATTATCTGTTGCTGGGACCTGATTACAAAGTTTCCTTATCTTGTTTTTATTCTTGAGTGTGTTACACAGCTTACATAGCGTAATCAAGGACGTCAAACCAGTTACTGCTGATTGCTTCACTTGTGCCGTATCTACATCGTGAAACCGCATTTCAGGTATGGCTTTTTTTACCACGATAAAAATGGGCTTGATTTTTGAGTAACGTGACATTATTTCACCAGAAGATTCCAACAAAACAGTTCCTGAATCAGGGACTCGTCGGTTTGCTCGTATTGCCTGTCAAACCAACATCTTGGCACTGTAGCCAAGTATTTCTGCGCTGATCCGCAAGTTTCTCTTATCCTTACAAAAGAAGATCTATCATGTCTCATCTCAGTCTTATGCAGCTGAGTTCCGTTCCGATTGGTGACAGACGGGTAGGTATCTAGGCGGCCGAGGTCCGGAGTAAGATGGAGTCCTGAAGTTGTCCGGACTCCGCTGCCGTCGGCCGGTATCTTTGCCATTGAAAGTCCTACATACGCAGGCAGCCTCCTGTCCTGTTGGAGGCTTATCTGATATGGCTTACGGCCGGACCGGGAGTAACTTCCGGTGAGTTTGACTCTAAAGTCTAACTTGAGTGCTGCCGTAACGTCAATAACAGTAGCATGTTACTATTCCACTCGAAGGTGAAACAGAACTCCTCGGAGAATTAAATCCTGGAGGATTGAGACACATAATGATTCAGGACCTGTGAAGGTACACACAGTAGTGAAGGATTCTAAAGGGCGTTTCTAACAATACGACTGGTCAGCGTAGATAGTATAATGGTCATAAATCTTTTGTAATAGGAAAGAGGGCTGTCAGCCAGCCGCTTACCGTCCTACCACGCCGACATGACGGGCTTAGACTAGACCACAGATGGCGTCCATCTCCCAACCCTCCCACTCAAGCGGCTCCTAATCTACTCCTTGGGAAAAAGGGAGAAAAGGCAACCACAGTTCACTTCATATATGTCAAACTCAAGACCTCCAAACCAAGGCACATCGCCAATCTTTTAACAAAAGACCATGTCCGAGACTCGGTCCGCAAAGCCCGTCCGGCTGCGCCTCGCTTGCGACGCTTGTACGACAGCCAAGGTCCGCTGCAGCAGGACTCACCCCTGCGAGCGCTGCGAGGACAACGGGCAGGCCAAGGAGTGCTGCTACAGCGCTTCGCGACGACATGGCAAGCGGGCGCGACAGAGGAAGAGTGCGCAGGATAGTGGTAGTCTTACGACGCAGTTTACGAATGCGTGGGAGGACTACAGTACATACTCGACTGGCGATCTTGAGATGCTTGATAGTTGGGCGTCGCGCACTGTTGACTTTGATGATGGGAATGGTATGTCTTGGGTTGATCCGTGGAAGTCGCTGGGTTTTGTGTCGGATACTACTGCATCGCAGTCGAGTGGTATGGTATCACCTGATTTGAGCTTATCGACTGGGCCGATATTGTCGATCAAGGCGCCGGAGCCAACAGCTATGCACTCTCACGATTGTGAGGCCCTTGCTCTCAAGGTGTTGAGATCGCTGCACTGCAACACAAACACAGATCAAAAGTCCTCTCCCATTTCCCAAAAGCAACCCTGTTCAACACCGTCCATCGACACAGTTTTATCCGTCAACAAAGCCGCTCTCACAAATCTTGTCCCCCTCCTCAAATGTCACTGCGCACGAAACCCCCATATCGCAATGCTACACAGCGCAATCTTATCAAAAGTCATATTCTGGTACAGAGTTGCAGTCACAGCACGGTATCACACTGACGGAGTTGAACTACGACCTATGAAGATCCAGCTTGGAATGCTGGATCTTGATGATGAGGATCAGGCTACACTGCAACGGACTGTTGTTTTGAGAGAGTTGAGAAAGGCTGAGAAGGTCATGGAGACGTTTGATTCTTTTGCTGGAGGGGATGAGGGCGGGGTGAATTGGCATGTTGTTGCTGTGAGGAACATGAGGGAGGAGTTGCAGGGAATTATTCAGAAGATCAAGAAAGGTCAAGGAGAGATGGTGTGAACATTTTGGTTCTTTGCATCGTGTGAACTGTATATAAAAGGCTGGATTGTTTGATTTACGTCATTCCTTTGGGGTTCCAAGGAGGTCATTAGATATGTAGCTCAGCAAGTTGCCAATCACACTGTAATCAGCATTTACATTCACTACAACTGCGGTTTCAATTATCTTGTCCTCATCGATAGTTAATGCGTTGATGCTTTTAGTGAGGGTATATTCAGTAAGCCCTTAAGCCTTACGTCGTCATCAGATGCAACGGCAGTCAGTTAATACCGGCCCTACACCAGTCCGAACACCGAGCTGTGCTTGGCGCCACAACGTCCGTGATCTATACCGTTAATGTAATACATTTCACTATTACAATTCTAAGAGATTATGCCTAATATGACTGCATGTGCCTTTGCCTTGGTCACTTGATATTCCATGTGATTGTGTATCATGTAACACAACATGGCATTTTATGAGTACAAATCGTCTTTTCCAATCCCATTTCGTGCTTTCAGAGTCACATCAGGCATGAATTTCGTATCCATGATCTCTAGTATAAGATTGGCTGGCAGCTGCGGATACATGCGTTCCTGGAATTCGGAAGCCGAAGCATACCTAACGGAACGTCGATCATGTCTTACGTTTCAGCGGAATAACAGCATGGATACCGTGAGACTCATCAAGATTTGATGCATAAATATTGAAGCAGACACCCGGTCCAGGCCTTGATTTTACCCGCTCAGCCGCTCTACATGACGCCCGGCGCCAGGGTTACTGCATTGGGACAGCATCTGACGTGAGGTCTGTTGTTTCCTCACCGCTGTCCGAGTGAGGAAACATCCTCCGGCAGATGTACCTGTGCCCTCTCGTACCAAGACTGTTATGTACCTGATAAGGCTAGACCTTACGGTGCATCCATCATGATCATCAGGCTAGTTTACGAGTTGTGTAGTGGCTTGTTGAAAGAGCGCTTGCACATGTGCCGAATCTAACGGTTCCAACTACTTGACCGCTTTTATCTTGAGCCTCATTTTTCTTTCCCGTTTTTGTCCCTGGAGTCCTATACAAAATGATGGCACTTGATCCCTGTTTCGGCCTCGCTTTTCAACCCAGTCGCGAGAAATGTTGGCCCTCGTGCATATAGCGGGGCACTCATCAGGCACGCATCAAGTTACACAGGCACAAAATCGGCAAGGAACAGTCCCGGACTCCGAGACATTTTCCCTCTCCATGATTCACTGCACATTCTGTCATTATGAGGGGTCATTCTCAGTGGTTGGTCGATCAAACAGTGCCATGGCTGCAGGCGGGGGGACTAACACCACGACAATAGGCCTTAGCTCAAGCCATGTAAGCCATGTTTGCTTCTCCCATCCCATACCTCCCCAACATAAAAGCGTTGCTGAGCGAACAACTCTTCTTCTCTTCACCATTTCTCCCCTCATCTTGCACCTCATTCTCTCAAACATATACACCAAAATGGCTTCACTCGGAAAATACGTCTCCAAGCTCGCAGGATCTCGCGTCCTCGTCATCGGCGGTTCATCAGGAATCGGCTTTGGCGTCGCAGAAGCAGCGATCCAGAACGGCGCCTCGTCTGTATTCATCTCCTCTTCTTCCCAGACAAAGATCTCCAGCGCCATTGAGCGCCTCAAGGAGAACAACCAATCTGCCAAGGCTCAACTCCACGGGTTTCCCTGCAACTTGGGCTCGCCTGACACACTCACCTCAGAGGTTGAGAACCTCTTCACCGAGGTCGCCAAGTCTGGCAAGCTAGACCATGTTGTCTTCACCGCAGGCGACAAGCTCGCTGTTGGAAAGCTGGAGGACTTCACCCTCGATGCAATTCGTCAAGCTGGCACCGTGCGCTTCTTCGCACCACTTGTTGTCGCGCAGCAACTCCGCAAGCACCTGAACGAAAGCGGCTCATCATCATTCACCGTCGCTACTGGTGGTGCAACAGAGCATGTCTCCAAGGATTGGTCAATCATGTATTCTTACCTCTCTGGTCTTCGCGGCATGATCCGTGGTTTGGCAGTTGATCTTGCGCCGATTCGTGTCAATGCTGTTGCGCAGGGCCCAACGGACACTGAGATCTGGAGCTACGTCAAGGAGATGGGGTATTGGGATAATGTGACTGGGCACTTGAAGGGAAGAATGACGACGGGTGAGATCGGAAAGGTTGAGGACGTTGTGGAGGCGTATTTGTACTTAATGAAGAACAAGAATACTTCTGGTAGTGTTGTTGAGACTACGGGAGGAACATTGCTGTCTTAGTTGGCTGTGGAGGGGTTGTAGGGTAATTCGCATCAAAACAACATGAATCACAAGACATTACAGCATCACTATTGGGCTCTGTTCTACCTGTCAAAATTATCTTTACCGGTTTTCCAGATCTCATCAATGGGATAGGTCCTTCATTTCAACGCAGTTAAAGATCAGTAACTCTTGAGAATGACAAGCGCGGCATGAGCTCGCCCTTCTGCAGATTCTTCAGAAGCCAACCCCACCTGATAAGACGCCAGGCACTACAATCACAGTGCAGCAGATATTAACTGCATTCACCCGCAACGGGAATCAAAGCATAAGCAGAATAAGCTCGTAAACGCCGTGAGACGTTTCACTTCAAATCCATTGGCTGCAATCATTCTCGCGCCTCGGCACTAAACCCGCTTCTCGGACACTGTGAAGCTACGCCTCTTTCGGCCTCTCGCTGTTGACTTTTCGCTGTTCGGATTTTAGCCCCCTCAAGCTCCGACCCGTGTAAGTCGTGAAACACAAACGCGATGCAATGAATGCGGCTTCACTGCTGGTCTTGACCGTCATTCTGGACTGACAAAGATGGATGGTGAATTATCTCATCGCAATGTTTTCTCATTTGCGCAATCGCATTTCAGTGAATCGTCTTCAGGCACTCTCTTCACAAATCAGAGCTGTCAGCACAATGAAAGAAGCTATTGTATCGCGTGGACCGAAAGTCCATATCATTGATAGCCCGATACCGAAGGCAGGACCTGGGCAAGTTGTTGTCAAGATTGAGTATGCGGGCAGTAACCCCAAGGATTGGTGAGCACCCTCGGCCTGATTCATACCCATGCTGACAGTCTGAAGGAAGCGACCTGAGTACTGGGGAAGCAAGGCGACCATGAACCAGGGCGATGACCACGCTGGAACTGTCTACGAGGTTGGTGAGGGAGTATCTGACTTCAAAATCGGTGATCGCGTTGCGGCTATGCACGAGGGGAAGCAGCCTGGCGGGAGTTACGCTGAGTATGGTGTCAGCTGGGCATACACCACCATTCATCTACCGGAGCACACCTCTTTTCAAGGTAAGCAGGCAGTGTTATGTGCTCCTACACGTGCTGTTGGCTGACGTTGTAATCGCAGAGGGCGCTGCCATACCCTTCGCTGCATTCACCGCAGCTTGTGCTCTCTACGCAAAGCTCAATCTGCCCTGGCCAATGCATCCAATCTCCGACGATAAAAAGATACCTCTCGTGATTTGGGGTGCTTCATCAGCCGTGGGATCGTACGCAGTTCAGTTGGCAAAGAAATCTAACATTCACCCTCTTATTTGCATCGCTGGTCGTGCGCAGGAGTACGTGGAGAGAATGATTGATGGATCCAAGGGCGACACAGTCATTGACTACAGGATGGGACGCGAGGCAGTCGCGCAAAAGATCAGGGCTCATCTCAGAGGCGAAAAGCTAGAGTACGCATTTGATGCTGTATCTGAGACGGGATCCTACCAGACCATTTGCGATGTTCTTGACCAGGAGACTGGAAAGATCACTCTCATTATTCCTGCGCAAAGCTATTCTGATATCCCGAAGACCATTGAGAAGTCGGTCACTACGGTTGCTAGTGTGCACGAAGATCTGAAGGAGTTCGCCCGGGCGTTCTCGATTGACTTCGAAAGAGGGCTGGAGGACGGATGGTTGAAGGCGCATCCGCAAGAGGTTGTCCCTTGGGGATTGGAGGGGGTAGAGAAGGGACTGGTGGATTTGAAGAAAGGAAAGGCTAGCGCGGTGAAGTATGTTTACAAGATCGCGGACACGCCAGGAATAGAGTCTCAGTGAGAAGTACTGTCGGACAAGATGTAGATAGAGTAACAATAAAGACAAAAGCAGAACATTTGACCAAATTAGAAGACTTGAGCTCCCTCACAGCGTCTCTTCAGTCAAGTGTCCCTTAAGCGACTGTGTTTGATCGCTTCACACAAAGGACGGGCGTTCTGAGAGCACCCTTCTGACTACATCGATGACACACCATTCTACAAGAGACCAATCCAGCAACCTGTTTTCCGGAGCTCGGCTCCCGTGAAGAAAGAGGCGCAGATAAGATACCGTTACGGCACGGATCGATCCATGGCGGCGTCGACAACAACGAAGTCCCGGCGCCACGGCCACTGCAGAGACACAAAGACATTACCAAATTGGGATTCGGACCCCGAAACAAGAAACAACTCCTCCCCGTGCGTTGCATTATCTATCAAAAATTCTTTCAAATATGATCCGTTGAAGATAATAAGCACAGTCATGGTGTCATAGAGTCGGAGTGTCAGTATTGGCTTACACGGAGAACCAAGTCGGTCCGTAGGCCGGTCGATTGCCAAGAGACTCAATTGAGACAACGAAGGAATTGGAACTGTATGGGGATGTCTTCGGGATCCATTTCGGGGATTCGAGTTGTACACACGTAGCTCAAGACTGTGGCGTTCTTGACAATAGGATGCCAAGGGCACCAAGCATCGCCGGTCTACTTGGCTTCAAATAGAGGACTCGTCACATAATCTCAAAAGAAGACCACCTTCTCGCAGTCTTTCTAGACAAACTATCTTCATTTTCTCCCTGTAAACTCAGTTCAATTGGGAAACATGACAAACACACAGACAAACGGTACTCACCCCATCATGGCTGACAAGCCGGATGAGAAGTCCAACGGCACTCTCAACGGTGATCATCAAGAATACCCAACCTTTTCCCAAGAAAGGCTCGATGACTCCATCAAGAGAGGAATCGATCTACAAGTCTTTCGCTACCCCTCCACCGGAATCAACGTCCTCATCGCAGGCGCCGGTCTGGGCGGAATCACCTGCGCTCTTGAATGCTGGCGGAAAGGACACAATGTTCGCATTATCGACCGCAGTCCCAGTGCAGTCTGGACAGGCGATAATGTTCAGATCCAGCCCAGCGCCATTCTACTTCTGCGCCATTGGCCTGATATGGGCTATGAGATTGAGGAGAACCAGTACGACGTTGACATGTCTTATTACAGACAGACTGGCGAGCGTATCTGGGGCCCTGCACCGCCCATGTTCAATGATCCAGAACATTTACCCGGCCGTCGTGGGTTTCCCTCTGTCAATGCTCACTCACGTATTAAACTGTACCGCGCGTTCTTGAAACAAGCGGAGCGCGTGGGCATTCACGTTGAGTGGGGATGCAAGGTCGTTGAGTACTGGGAGGACGTTGAAGGCCGTGCTGGGGGTGTTGTTCTCGAGAATGGGGAGAAGAGAACAGCGGATATCGTCGTTGCAGCTGATGGGCTGAGGACCAAGAGCAATACTGTCGTTCCTGGCATGCCGGATCAGTTGGCGACGAGTGGAAAGGCGATCTATCGTGCGGGTTATCCTGTTGAGCATGCGCTGAAGGATCCCAAGGTTAGGGAGATGTGGAACTTTAAGCCTGGCGATAAGCCGATTTGGCAGTTCTGGCTTGGGTGAGCTGTCTGAAGCCGATGAGAGAGGCAATACTAACGACTGCAGAAACGGTTCTCACAACATGATCTGCTTGACTCACGATCTTGCTTTCTGGAGCTTCATCCACTCCGTAAGTCTCCTCTCCCCAATTCCCGACAAACCACTAATAGAAACTCTAGCACGCTGAATCTGCCAGCGAGTCCTGGATCCCAGACATCGACCCAGCAGAAGTAATCACCGAGATGGAAAAGAACGACGCCGTGCACCCAGCAATCGCAGCCTTCATCCGCACCGCCCCCAAAGGCTCCGTCGTGAACTGGCAGCTCAAATTCCGCGATCCCCACGAACAATGGACATCTCCCGGCGGCCACGTCGTGCAGCTCGGCGACGCAGCGCACGCCTTCCTCCCCACATCCGGCAACGGCGCAACCCAGGCCATCGAAGACGGCGTGACCCTTGCAACATGCCTCCAACTCGCAGGGAAATCCCAAGCCGCCAACGCGACAAAGGTATACAATAAACTACGCTTCCAGCGCGTTAGTTGTGGTCAGAAGATGGGCTTCGTGAACCAGCAGCTCAAGCAGCACACGGATTGGGATGCGATCATGAAGAACCCGGCGCTGATTCGATCGCGATATCCGAAATGGGTCTGGTCGCATGATCCCGAGGCGTATGTGTATGAGAAGTTTGCTGAGGGGTTGACGCATGTTGTCAGCGGGGGACGGGTTCCGTTGGTGAATACGAATTTTCCGAAGGGGCATAAGTATAGGCATTGGACTATGAAGGAGGTGCAGGAGCAGATCAAGGCGGGACAGAAGTTGGAGGATCTTCAGGATGGGGATTGGTCTTAGATGTGTATGAGTGGTAGTAGATAGGATCAAGATTGTCAATTGAGTGTATTCACGTACGAACAGTAACTGTTAAGAGGGTGGTGATGCTATACAGTACCACATCGCGACTGACGAGTTACCTTATGATCCGAATACCATGTTCTGGAGCATCAACACTGCGCGATTGTAAGACACTCTTCCACGTTGACGACTCCATCGATACTTGCATCAACTGCAAAAGGGAGAGAAGACGTGAGTGAAACACCACGATGGCCTCGATGATCATTTTTAAACAGACTTTCACAGTGGACTTGCATTCATTTCATTTTTAGAGTGGCACAGCAAGTATCGCGACGATCGAGAGAAGCAAAATTACGGCAAAGAATATGTCATTAAGATCTTATCTATGAAGCTGTCTAAAGCCAGGCGGCCTGCTCGGGAGACTCATCAAGCGTAGCCTCAATAACGGACAACTCACTCCCAGCAGGTCTCTCAATCGCCTGTATCTTCAATCGCGGATCAGCCTTGGTAAGCAGGGCATTCCACTCCTCAACCTCCCGCTCCTGCGCATTAAAGCACTGAATCATGGTGAGATCCTTCTGTCTGAGCGCCGCTTCAAATGTCACAGACCCAGAACCTGGCTTGGGCAACACCATGTCCATGATCAGCAAGCGACTGGATGGACCCATGGCTGCGACGATGCCTTGGATGATCTTGATGGCATCGGCGTCGGGCCAGTCGTGGAGAATGGTGCGCAAGAGGTAGACATCTGCGTTCTTGATGGGCTGGGGAGTAAAGAAGTCGTAGGCTTTGATCTCAATACGAGACTTGATGTCTGGTGCTAGATCAGACAGACGAGTCTTGGCATTTTCAATGGGCTCTGGGAGGTCTTCGATGACGAGGTTGAGTAACGGGAATGCCGTCGCTAGCATGATTGATGTTGAGCCACTGCTTCCACCAATCTGGACACCATCAGCAAGAAGTCAAGAGTGCATTGAGATGAGAACTTACATCAACGACTTGCGCTTGACCCAAGGCCTTCCAGTCAAAGGCGTTCAGAAGATGCTCAACGTTAGAGCCAGTGTGTGACACAGCGCGACTCTTCATGTAGGCCTGAAAGCCTTCATTGAGATCAGGTCTCGTCTTCAAATGCTCAAAGAACGACAGCTCAGTGTTGTGCACAATATTATAAGCCGTCTCATTAGTCGCAGACGTCTCGCCCCATTTCTCCGTAGCTTCAATCAAGCCCGTCATGAGAGGAACAGTCTGATTGAAGATATGAAGAAGCTGCACCTTCATATGAACATTCGTAACGAACTGCGCAGAAAGGGTATTGTGAGAAAGCTTGCCATCTTTGGTCTCGCACAGCAAACCCGTAGTCATCGCCATGCGCGCCACAGACTTCAGCTTTGACAGCGGGACTTTAGCCTCGGCGGCGACATCAGAGTAGGCGATGGACTCTGGAGGCTGGGGGATCTTGGAGAGAATGTCGAAGTGGCAAAGCCAGGCGATGCAGTGATACTGCTGCTGCTGGGCGACTAGCTCAGTGAGGAAGCTGTGCGGATCATGCACTCGGTGTTTAACCTGCGTGACATGCTCAATGACAGCGTCTCTATCCGTCTTGTCCATCTTTGCACTTCAATCCTGACTGTATAGTGTTAAGCACAGAGAAAAGCATTGACTGCGATAGGATCAAGCTTTATGAGAGATGACGAGATCACGCGGCGTCCGAAGTCCTTGGTCGCCGTGGAGTTCCCGAGCTGAACCGACCTGATTCCCGAGACTCGGACGCCGTCTTACAAGCTCTTGATACAGGAACATGGCTGATGTCCTGTACGACATTAGCGGTGATGTTTCTGTTTTGGGTCAGACGTGCATTATCTGGGTATGTTGAGGCTCAGTGTCGGGAATGAGAACCTCTTTGTTGACGTCGGGCCGTGGATGACGGCATTCAGAAGACTGAGAGTATGATATGCCGGACTCCGAGTAAGATGAAGATCTCTATCTCTGATAGAAGATGACGGCGAGATAAGGTCAGCGAAAGGAATGACAGTGAGGGGAAGGTAGATAAAAGAGGCATCGTCTCATCAAAGCCAAGAGCGAAATAACCATAGACAAAACATCATAGACTTCAACCAGCAACATCTACAAGATTCAACACCTTTGTCATGGCATCCCACATGAAGCTGTATCTCTTCGGAGACCAAACCTTTGAGGTCCAACCTCACTTACAGCACCTCCTGCAGAAGCGCGACAATCTCTTCCTCCATGAGTTTCTGAATCAGAGCTACAATGCCCTCCGCGCTGAACTCTTCAAGATCCCGTATAGCATCAGAAAGGATCTTCCGCGGTTTACATGCCAGGAGGATCTCCTTCTCTGGGATCAGAGTGGACCGCGATGTGTGGCGCTTGATATGGCGATGACGACTTTGTATCAGCTTGGTACATTCATTAGGTAAGTCACTTATTCTTCAGTTGTGCCTGGGGGAGTGTTGATAAGAGTAGTCAAGCGGGTATTTCTTCGTATGATGCGCAGAGCACAAGAGTCGTTGGTCTCTGTACCGGCGCTTTTGCAGCTGCGGCTGTTAGTTGCAGTAGCTTCACAGCAGATCTGATCCCCATGGCTGTGTCATCCGTGGTCGCGGCTTTTCGAACAGGTCTTCTCGTTACTGATACAGCTCGACGAGTCGATCCAGGCCAAGACTTGAACAGGAGCTGGGCACTTCTTGTCCCTGGTCAAAAGGCAACGAAGGCCTTCCAGGAGTTCTGGGATGCCAACGTAAGTACTAAGCACTGAGATAGCAATTGGATACTAATATGATACTTTAGGACGGCGGCGTCTTGACTAGCATGCCTTATATCAGTGCTTATGCACCGAATGGCATTACCGTTAGCGGTCCCCCTCAGCGTCTTAGCGATCTTGCAAAGTGGCTTGCTTCCAAGAGCATCACGTCCAAAGCCATTCCCATCTATGGCGCTTACCACGCACCTCATCTGTACTCTCAGAAAGATGCTCGACGAATCGTTGATGGCTTGATGCTCAACAAGGCCGTGTCACCATCCGAACAGACCCCTCTTCTCTCCAGCACAGGATCCAAGCCTGAAGAGCGAAGCTTCGCAACACTCTTGGAAGATGCCATCGCGCAAGCTCTTCTTCATCCTCTCCGCTGGAGTTCAATCTTTGATGATGTCCAAGCTGCTCTTGAGACTACTGGGTCTCAGCAGTTTAGTGTTCAGTCGATTGGTTCGAATGCTGAGCATTTGATCTACACTGCTCTCAAGAAGACGTCTCTTCGGTATCTCGTTCCAGAGACTACCGTGCCCAGCCAACCAACCAGTGTTCCTAGCGTTCCTGACGCTGGCACGAGTAAGCCAAAGCTGGCTATCGTCGCCATGTCCGGGCGCTTCCCTGGTGCGAAGGACAACGAAGCCTACTGGGATCTTCTCTACAAGGGCCTCGACGTCCACAAGCCCGTTCCAAGTCTTCGCTGGGATCAGCAAACACACGTCGATCCTACCGGCGCAAGAAAGAACACGAGCGCTACACCGTTTGGTTGCTGGCTAGATGATCCTTCTGAGTTCGACGCTCGCTTCTTTAACATTTCTCCCCGTGAAGCTCCTCAGATTGATCCCGCACAGAGGTTAGCTCTCATGACAGCTTACGAAGCCATCGAACAAGCTGGTATCGTCCCTGATGCCACGCCCTCTACTCGACCCGATCGTGTTGGTATCTTCTACGGAGTCACCAGCAACGACTGGTTGGAAACGAACAGTGCTCAAAACATCGACACGTACTTCATCCCCGGCGGAAACAGAGCTTTCATCCCCGGCCGCATCAACTATTTCTTCAAGTTCAGCGGTCCCAGCTACGCCGTCGACACAGCATGTTCATCATCCCTCGCCGGAATCCATCTAGCCTGCAACGCCCTCTGGCAAGGCGACGTCGACACTGCCATCGCCGGCGGTACTAACGTCTTGACTAACCCGGATTACCACGCTGGTCTTGACAGGGGACACTTTCTCTCGCGCACAGGGAACTGCAAGACTTTTGACGATGGCGCTGATGGGTATTGTCGCGGTGAGGGTGTGGCGACGATTATTATCAAGAGGCTTGATGATGCGATTGCGGAGAACGATCCGATCTTGGGTGTTGTTCTTGGTGCGTATACGAATCATTCTGCTGAGTCGGAGTCGATTACACGGCCGCATGTTGGTGCGCAGCGGGTCATCTTTAACAAGATCTTGAACGAGGCTGCTGTGGATCCTTACTCTGTCAGCTACGTCGAGATGCACGGAACGTAAGTCTGCACCTTTCCCACTCATGGTTCTTACTAACGCAATGGCAGAGGCACCCAGGCTGGCGATGCCACCGAAATGTCCAGCGTCCTCGAGACTTTCGCACCTCCCCTAGCAGAAGGCAAAGTCGCCCGTCCAGAGTCCCAAAAGCTCTACATCGGCTCAGCGAAAGCAAACATCGGCCACGGTGAAGCTGCCTCTGGTGTCTGCAGTGTAATAAAAGTTCTTCAAATGCTCAAGAAGGACACCATCGTTCCACACTGCGGCATCAAGAACAAGATCAACCACCGATTCCCCACTGATCTCGATCAACGCAACGTCCGCATTGCTCTGGAGCCAACAGAATGGAAGAAGGGCACAGAGACTAACCCCAGACGTGTCTTTGTCAACAACTTCAGTGCTGCGGGAGGTAACTCCGCGCTGTTGATCCAGGACGCACCACCGAGAAAACAACTCATTGCTAGCAATGACTCTCGCGTCCAATTCCCCATCGCCATCACTGCAAAGAGCGGTGTATCCCTCCAAGGAAACATGCGCTCAATGCTCAAGTTCCTCAGCACAAACTCACACGTCTCCCTCGCCGAACTCTCCTACACCACCACAGCACGACGCATCCACCATCAGCACCGCGTTCTCATCCCCGGAGCAACCCCTGAAGAAATCTGCTCCAAGATCGAAACAGCGCTACAAAATAACACTGGCGTCACGAGACCCAAGGCTGCACCAAAGGTGGTCTTCACTTTCACTGGTCAAGGAGCTCAGTACCCTGGAATGGGAAAACAGCTCTTTGAGGAGAATGAGTTTGTGCGCAATGAACTTCTTTCACTCGATCGGATTGCTCAGAACTTGGGTTTTCCTTCGATGCTTCCGTTCATTCAATCTGATGAGCCTGATGTTGCCAAGTTTGCGCCTTCGCTTGTCCAGCTTGCTAGTGTTTGTCTCCAGATTACGCTGAGCAAACTTTGGGCGACTTGGGGAATCACTCCTACTGCTGTTGTGGGACATAGTCTTGGTGAATATGCTGCTCTTAACGTCGCTGGTGTTTTGTCGGACACTGATACGCTGTTCCTTGTCGGTGGTCGAGCTCAGCTTCTGGAACAGAAGTGTACTCGCGGTACACACGCCATGCTTGTGGTGAAGGGATCCCAGGAGGAGATCGCCGGTGCTCTGAAGGGGCAAGAGTATGAGACTGCTTGTATTAACTCCCCCATAGAGACTGTTCTTGCTGGTCCGAATGAGCAGATCGCCAAGGTCAAAGACCAGCTCACGGCGGCTAGCTTCAAGACAACTCTTCTCAAGGTCCCTTACGCATTCCACTCGTCCCAGTTGGAGCCAGTAGTTTCCGACATCGAAAAGCTTGCCAGCAAAGTGACCTTCTCCGATCCCAGGATCCCAGTTCTGTGCCCCTTGGAAGGTACTGTCATCGAGAATGAGAACCCCTTCAATGCCTCATATCTCGCTCGACACTCCCGACAGCCCGTCAACATGCTCACCTCACTGACTACTGCCTACCGCGACGGCTATCTCAGCGATCGCTCAATGGTGCTCGAAGTTGGTCCTCACCCAGCTGTCTCAGGCATGGTCAAACCCACCCTCGGCCAACAGATCACCTGCGTCGCTTCACTCCAGCGGAGCCGAGCACCCTGGGATATGCTCTCCGCGGCACTCAAGAGTCTCTACGACGCTGGAGCAAGCATCAATTGGGCTGATTACCAGAGCAACTTCCCTGGCGCACAAACTGTCGTGGATCTTCCCGCTTATAGCTGGGATCTCAAGGAGTACTGGATCCAGTACGTCAACGACTGGTCGCTGCGTAAGGGTGATCCTCCTTTGGTGATCAACAACGTGTCCAAGCTGGAGAGTACTACTATCCACAGTGTTGTTGAGGAGAGCGGTGACTCTAAGAAGACTCATATTGTTGTTGAGGCCGATATTGCTCGCAAGGATTTGAGCCCGCTCGTTCAAGGTCACGAGGTCGATGGGATCCCTCTCTGCACTCCTTCTGTCTATGCTGATATGGCGCTGAGTCTTGGTAAGTATTTACTTGAGAGATATCAGCCACAACAGAAAGGTGATATGGTTGTTGTCTCGGACATGACAGTGTCCAAGGCCCTGATCCTCCGTGGTGATGGATCGCGACAGCCTATTCAGGCCCATGCTGATGCAGACTGGTCATCTCAGTCAGTCTCGATCAAGTTCATGTCTTTCGATGTAAGTTTCTCTTTCAATATACATGGGTGCATATACTGACACTAGAGTAGAACAAAGGTAAACTGCAAGAACACTCCGCTTGCGTAGTCCGCTTCAAAGACCGAAGCCATCAAGACGCCCTCCAAAGCGAAGCTCCCACCACCAAGCAAAAGATGCAAAACCTCCGCAACCAAATCACCACCGGCGAAAGTGCCCGCTTCAACCGCCCCATGGCATACCGCATGATCCGTCCCCTCGCCCGCTTCCACGACGACTATCGCGCCATTGACGAAGTCGTCCTCAATAGCGAAACCCTCGAAGCTTCTAGCAAGATCAGCTTCGGCACCGTCAAGCGTGACGGTGACTTCCACACTCATCCCGCTGTCATCGACGCTCTTACTCAGTCTTGTGGTTTTGCTATGAACTGCAATGATCACACTGATATTGATGTCGATGTCTACATGAACCATGGCTGGGGATCGCTGGAGCTGTTTGAGCCGCTGGACTTTGAGAAGGAGTATACTACTTATACTCAGATGCATGCTGGAGAGGATAAGCTCTGGTATGGTGATGTGACAATCTTTGATCAGGATAGGGTTGTTGCTTTCTTTGGTCAGATCGCGATCCAAGGTGTTCCGCGAAGAGTCCTCAAGGTTATTCTCTCAATTGAGAGCGGGAAGAAGGGCCAGCCTCAGCGCCAGACGCAAGAGAAGCCCCGAAACACTCCCTCGCAACCAAAAGAGTCTACCCCCAAGCCAGCACAGAACAAACCAGCTGCCAAGGTAGAGCCACCAAAGTTCTCTACCGCAATCCGCATTATCTCAGAGGAGAGTGGCATCGACGTCTCCGACTTCACCGACGGCACAACCTTCTCAGACGTCGGCATCGACTCCCTCCTCGGTCTCACCATCTCCGCTCGCTTCCAAGAAGAACTCGACATCGATCTTGACTTCAACGCTCTCTTCTTCGAACATCCCACCGTCAAAGATCTACGAACCTTCCTCGGCGCAGACGACGATGTCTCTGGAAGTTCATCCTCTGCAGCTAGCGACTCAGGCCGTGACATGACTACCACTGGAAGCGCTACCCCAGAGCTTCAAGAGGAGTTTGCGGAATCAGCTGAAGTTGAGTTTGAGCGCGCTCTTGAGATCATCTCTGAGGAGAGTGGTGTTGCGAGATCTGATTTAGATGATGAGACGAACTTTGCGGATTGTGGTGTTGATTCACTCTTGTCGCTTGTTATTGCGAGTCGGTTCCAGGATACGTTTGGTCTGGATATTGCGCATGAGCAGTTGTTTATGGAGTGTCAGACTGTTGGTGATCTCAAGGCTATGTTGGCGCGAGAGATGGGTTTGGCTACGCCGGCTGCTAAACCTGCTGCGGTTCCTGCACCTGTTGTCTCTGAGGCTGTCGCGCAAGAAACAGTCATCACCCACAGCGACACTTCTAACCTCGCTGAACGCGAACAAGCTATCACTCAGCTTGTCAACAAATACACCGCGGGCTTCAAAGCACCCACTTCCAACCCCAACGGTCCTCCTCTCGGCAAGAACGAAAACGTCGTCCTCGTCACAGGCGCATCAGGCGGTTTGGGAAGCCATCTCGTCTACGCCCTAGCGCAACTAGAAGAAGTTCGCGCTGTCGTATGTCTCAACCGCCCCAACAGGGAAGACGCGACGACCCGCCAGTACAAGGCTATGAGAGATAAGGGCATCCGCTTCCCAGAGCATCTAAAGTCCAAGGTTCGCATCTTACAGGCCGATACCTCGAAGCCAAAGCTTGGAGTTACCGATAGCCAGTACGCGTCTTTGATCCAGTCTGTTACGCACATCATCCACAATGCGTGGCCCATGAGTGCGAAGCGTCCCCTCTCTGGCTTTGAGTCGCAGTTCCAGGTCTTCCGCAATCTTCTTGATCTAGGCCGTGAGTGTGCCTCCGGTCGTCCTGCAGACTTCAAGTTCAGCTTCCAGATGATTTCGTCAATTGGTGTCGTTGGACAGTGGGGCCTTGCTGCTGGTCAGACGGGCAAGATTGTCGTTCCTGAGGAGAGAACTACCATCGACTCACTACTCGGTAACGGGTACGCTGAAGCGAAATGGGGTTGTGAGAGGATGCTCGATGAGACTCTCCACAAGTTCACCGATCGTTTCCGTCCCATGGTCGTACGTCTTGGTCAGATCGCTGGGTCCAAGACGAGTGGCTACTGGAACCCCATGGAGCACTTTGGCTTCCTCATCAAGTCCTCCCAGACTCTGAACGCTCTTCCCGACGTCGATGGCAATCTCAACTGGACTCCCGTCAACGACATCGCCGACACTCTAACAGATCTCGTCCTCTCCGACCGCACCCCATACCCAATCTATCACATCGACAACCCCATCGGCCAACAATGGCGCGACGTCAACAACATCCTCTCCGACGCCCTTCGCATTCCCAACAAAGTCCCGTTCAAGCAGTGGCTCGACATGGTGCGCAAAGCTCCTCAGCAGGATAACCCGGCTGCTCTGCTCGCAGACTTCCTCGAAGATACATACCTGCGCATGGCTTGTGGTGGTCTTGTTCTCGATGTGAAGCATTCGCTTGAGCACTCCAAGTCTTTATCGGCGGTTGGACCTGTTTCTGAGACTGTGGTGAGGAAGTATATCCATATCTGGAAGGAGATTGGGTTCTTGAAGACCACGGCGGAGGATAAGGCTGGGTTTGAGGCGGAGAGGCTGAAGCTTTGGGGACCTAGAGTGCAGGGTTGATCGGTAGAGATGCACGTTGAATTAGAGTTTCTTTTATGGTTATCTTAGATTGAATAGTTTCTTTATATATACATACATAGACATTTAACTTGGTCATTCACCACAATCGCGTTCATCTTCTGTGACCAGTCTAAACCTTTCTCATCAGAGAGTCTATCAGGTTTATCGTAGACCATCCTAAGTATGTCTTTACTGTCATCAATCATCCTGATATATCCTACGCCTGTCAAATGTTTCCATGGCTTTTGAGTGAAGTCTTGCGATCGGCTACTTCTTACGTGAACCCGGAGAGACAGCTCCACTATCTGCAATGACAACGCGACTTTACTGCACTGCAACATTGGTAAGTGTTATTCTATTCGTAAATCGCCGCTATTATCTTCGATATTTAGGTGATCACTGCCTTGAACAAGGTCCTGCGGCCCGGCGTTGATGCCCTCGATGGGGTTGGCGCCAAGCCATCAGGGTCTTTCATGCAGATCAGGTCCCATCGCCTTTTCACTTATGCAACTGCCGTGCATATTCCATGGAACCTCATGGTCGACTCAAATGCAGCGAACAAATTAATTGCAATCAAATGACAGAGTAAATGCCATCAAGGTGGACATGAATTGTCGCAACTTCGCAGTTCTTGATTGAGAAGTATGGCTCAAGGTGGAAGTACTTATAGCGCAATGGGCGTCTCAACTCACTCAGACCTCACTGCTGTTTCTCAACCCTCTTCTCTATAATATCAGGCCTACTGAGAAATTACAATGGTCAATTTCTCTGATGAGCGCTTGGGTGCCTCAGCACTCCTTCTGCTCTTCTTGAGCACCGCACATGGCAGCAATCTGCCACCGAAGGCTCAGCAAGACAATTCCTGCACTGAAAGGCCTCAGATGCAGAACTTTGAGTCAGTCGGAGCTTGGTTCGACGACGTCGCGAATCTCAATTGTACCTCAGTCTCCAAAGCCCCCAATGCCTCCATCGCCATTGTCGGAGGTGGTGTTTCCGGGCTCACCACCGCTCTCATGCTAGACAGCATAGGCCTTCATAACTGGGAGATCATCGAAGCTAGCGATAGAGTCGGCGGACGCTTCAGAACCAAGTTTGTCGGTGGTACACAGGAGTTTGCGGAGATGGGCCCGATGAGATTGCCGTATACCGTTACCTATAAGAGTGACAACTCTACGCATGAGTATACGGAGCATCGCCTGACTTTCCAATTGGCTGAGACTCTCAATTCCATGAATGGGAATGACTCAAAGTGGAAAGTCGACTTTATCCCTTGGATTCAACATCATCCCAATGAGCTTATTGCTTGGGGAACTGGCCGCCATCCTGATGGCAGCATCCCGACAAGAGCAGACATTCTCGCAAACTCAAGCCTAGCTAAACCGCCAGCTATGGTATCAGCCGAGTATAACGAAACCAAGCACCGCATGAATGAGATCCTCAAGAACGAAACTACGCTCAAAGCCATTCAAGCAGATGTCTGGCGGTCTCACAAATTCGTCATGAGCCAGGGCTACGATGACTGGAGTGAGCAGTGCATGATGAGGGAAGCCTTCCATGCCAGTGAAAACGTCACCGATGCGATATGGACTGCGACGGATTATGATGTCTTCTGGGATGAAATGGTGCATAACTCAAATCTCGCATTAGACGGGACGAAAGACTCACTAGGCGAGACGGAGTGGAAGTGCGTCGACGGAGGCTTCAATCGGCTTACTGATGCTTTCATCCCTCACGTTTCTGATCGTCTGGTTCGCAATCGCAAGATCAGAAAGCTCGAGCCAGTCAAGAGCAAAGATGGCCAAACTCGAACAAGACTCTCATGGTACCCCAGCGTCAAGAACCGGACGTTCGAGTCGAAAGACTACGACTACACCATCATGGCAGTTCCCTTCACAATGACCCGCTTCATGGACCTCCCCTCGTTCTCATCCGTCCTCGGCCGCGCAATCAGCGAAGCAGGCCTACGCTTCAAATCCGCCTGCAAAGTCTCCCTCCTCTTCTCCGAACGCTTCTGGGAGAAAGGCGACCGCCCCATATTTGGTGGTTACTCTATCCCCGAGAGTAGACCCATCGGCGCATTATACTATCCCGTCTATGGATTGAACGAGTCTCGGCCTGGGCTGATTACACACTATCGTGGTGGAGACTGGAGTGATCGCTACGCCAGCTTCTCTGATGAAGAGCACGTCCAGGCAGTTCTCGATGCAATCGTCAGTCTTCATGGGGAGCAAGCGCGAGAGCTATACACGGGTGATTATGAGAGGCTATGCTGGTTACAAGATGAACATACTGCGACTTCGTGGTGCCGTCCTGATGTTGAGCAGCACAATCTGTACATCCCGGCGTATCATCAGACGGAACATAACACTATCTTTATTGGAGAGCACACGGCCCCTACCCAGGCTTGGATTAGCTCTGCTATATACTCCGCTGCTAGAGGTACTATCCAGTTACTGCTAGAGCTGGGGATGGTGGAAGAGGCTAAGGAGATCAATCGACGTTGGATGGGCAGATGGATCAGGCACGAGGCCAAAGCATAACTTGAGAAAACTCTTTAGGCACGGATAAAAGTTCATCTCGTCACAGGGCTGATATTCAACCTTTCAGTGTATATGTGTATAGACACCAATGTTGTATGTATTTGGTGCCAAGGCCGGCCAAGGAGTCATCATTTAAGTTCTTATCATATTAGCTTTATGCTGTAGCCATTGGTCAGTCATCGTGGTATCGATGTCTAAGTTGTGGGCTAGAAGTGTTATTTGCAGTTGAGACTTGTGACTGTGAGATTATTCCGGCAGAGAGAACCTAGTATGTATTCGGTGGAGCCACCTAACTAAAGATTCGACGCGGAAAGACAAAGTCCTCCAGCTGCTGATACGCTTCATCAAGATCGTCGTTGACGATGATGATATCGTGCACTCCAGTCTCCGCAAACTCAAGCTCTAGCTTGGCTTGTGCCACACGCTGAGAGATACTCGCCTCATCTTCTGTTCGACGGGCGCGGAGTCTGGCTTCGAGTATTTCTAGACTCGGGGGCTTGAGGAAGACATAGCGAGCAACCAAATCTGAAGACTGTATCTTCTTTACGCCCTCCATCTTGATATCCAAGATGGGAGCCAGACCCTCCTTCATCACCTCAGCCATGGCTTTCCTGCTTGTGCCATAGAAGTTGCCGCTGAAATAAGTGTGCTCGACGAACTCCTTCCGCATTTTCATGCTGTGAAACTCTGGCGCGGAGCAGAAGAAGTAGGAAACTCCCTCAACCTCTCCTGGTCGCGGCCGGCGTGTTGTGTGTGAGACAGCGGAGGAGAAGATGGTTGGGTGATTGTCCTTCAGTCTCTGGATTAATGTACCCTTGCCAACACCAGAGGGGCCGGATATAATGATGGGACGGGTATCGAGAAGCGCTGGAGCATGTTTAGTGTGGTGAAATAAAATAGAAGGTTAAGGTAATACGTACCTGTGCTCATGTGGTATGTAAGTGACTCTGAGCCAGAGATATCCATGGTCTCCACGATACTTGAGGGTGTAGACAGTTGAGAAGAGAAATGAGATTATCTGGGGGATGATGGAGATGAGTCGCTGCGAAGGTTAATGGGAACACAATCCCGTATGAGTCTAAATGAAGATGCATAAAGTTGAGGGTTAAGAGAACAAGCCCTAAGACAAAGTCAAACACATCGCATCATGTACAGACGGTAAACTTTAATGCCTTCACTGCTGCCTAAAACGATATTTTATGATGAGAACTTAGTTGCTAAACTATGCAGTTAAATGTTCCGCCTCAGTGGTTCCTTTCATCGCTCAACTATGCACATCTCCAACAACCATCTTGTGGCTAGAACGCCACGATCTCCCCAGCAGTTAACTCCACTTCCAAACGCCATGCCAATAGTAATAACACAAGGCACAAGACTGTCCACCGCATCTCTATCAATCAGTGCTCGCAAACTTGACACTCTTCCTCCTCTCCCTCTCCCCCGTAACAACAGCCCTTCCAGGGCTCGAGCTGAGGATCCCTCCACTGCCCTTATTCAGCGCATCCCTCGCCATGCCTACCGCTCTGCTCTGCGGTATGTCATTGCCATCGCTCTTGACAGATCGATCTATACCTGCACGAGGGCTTGATCGCCTACTGCTGCTTGCTCCATGCTCATCTCGTGCCCTCGTCTTCTCTACGGTCGCGCGACCAATCTCATCAGACCGCGCTGTGCTGGTTTCGCCGCGATATCGACCAGGTAGACAGGCATGTCCACAGCCATCGAGGGGACAGCAGCCATCGCTGAAGGTAGTTGAGCCGCTAGAGTCTGGCTGATCGAGAACAGCGTGCCATGCTGTGAGACAGGAAGCATGGCCGCCGTGTGCACAGCCCGGACAGTACCACCATTGGGAGAGCCACGAGTCTGGGGAGCCCAAGGCAGTTGGTAGCTCCACGGGCGCGAATTCAGCATGTGTTGGTTCTCTGTGGCCACAGACAGCGCATGGCGCCATGGTGGTGCGGCATCGCTCACAAATCCAGATAGCTTCTGGGCCATTTTTGGGATCAAGCTCCCTGGGCTTCTTGCACGCAGAGCAAAGGAAGCTAACCTTTCCATTCTGCTGCGCTGGTGTGAAGATTGCTGTATAATTCTCGCCCCACTGGGGCAACCCTTCTGGCCAGCCTTTGATGCACAAGTTCCGTAGAAGCGACGCCTCAATGAAGAGGCCCATTTGCATCAGTCTCGAGTGGTGCTGTCGCAGGACTGCGTTGGCCTGATGATAGTCTATCACAAAGTCGGGTACTAGAGGCTTCAGAAGGAGAACGATGGCCGAAGCATTAACAGCAGAAGTTCGCGACTCGTAGTGCAAGGCCTCTGTGATGGAGGTGTAGGGATCAAGCGGTGAGACAATTGGGCTATTGCCAGACACAGTAGTCGGGAAGGGATATAAAGGGTCATCGTCCCATGGGAGAAAGTCTGTCTCCACGATGTGAGGTCGTAGATCTTTCTGCGCAGGAAATAGGTCCTTGGCAGGACTGTCGGATCGATTGGGATGACTTGCTGGAACAAGTACTTGTGACTGTGGGGAGTCTTGCTTCGCTGGAAGGGACTCCGCCACAATCTTTGGGGGCGACGGTTCAGATTGTAGGGGCTCTGACGTTTGCGATGGGAAAGAATCATCGGTTCCCATTGTGGTTTGAGAGATTAAGAAAAGATCCTCCGGCGAGTCGGTCGGCGGCTTCTTACTATGTGAGCGTGACTTGGGTGAATCCGTGGGCGTATCGGCATGAACCTCTTCGCCGCGAATGTGACTCGGGTACTCGTTATCCTTCTCCATGTCCGAGGCATGTCTCGCAAGGCTCGATCGCCAAGGTCCGGTGCCTCTCGGCGTCGAAGCCGAAGGTTTCTTGGTCGCATCAGACGTCGAAAACATCTGAGCAAAGCTCTCGTCCGAATCATGGCGCGTCACCCTCTGAACCTCTGGAATCGTAGAGTCCAACGATAGAGGCTCCTTCTTCTTAGGCGGGGGCACATCAAGGGCCTTGAGCAAGACCTCGGCGTCGTAAAAGTCGTATCCTTCAGTGCTAGATATCTGTGAGCTCTCGCTTTCATGGCTGACATCAGAGACGGGAACCGAGTCGAGCCGCTTTCGGGGGGTGTCTTCGAACCTGTCATTTATGCCAGGCCCAAGACGAAGTTCATCAGGCTCCGTGACGGCTGCAAGTCTCTTGCCGACCTGTTGTGCATGCTCTTTCGAATTTTCTGGAGCGTCAGCCGGTCGCGCGAGCGGAGTTGGGACGTTGGACGTGCTCTCGAATCCCATCGCGAGGAGGGATCGAGTGCTCAGAGAGCGGCTGCCGAGCCCAGACTTTCCAGAAGGACGTCTGGGCGTTTCGTCGCCGGGGGTTCGACTAGCAGTATAAAAGTCAATGGGCTTCAGCATTCCACTTCCCTTTCTCTCTTCTATCTTCACCTTCTGGAAACGTCCGAGTCGGAGGTCGAGGTGGTATTGAGCACGACGATCGAGGAGTAGGCCGACCGTGTAGGCAAGAACGCGCCAAGTCTGTGCTAATCGGAAGTACGAAACGCTTTCGGCTGCGCGGGCGTAATGTTCTAGGATAACACCGACTCGTTCATTAAGCGGCTTGCCATCTTTAACGTATGGGAGCTCCTGGTGGAGCGTCTCGAGGTATAATCCTGAGAGATATTGGTAGATTTGTGTTGTCTTTACAGCAGGCAGTCGACCGAAAGCCATCGTTTGCTGCGTTTTGAAGACACCTGTAACATTGATGGCTTGGTCAAGTGCCAGGAACGGCTTATCATCAAGGCCAGATCCAGAAGGTGGCGTCGTGCTCAAATTGGTGGATCGTCCGGCTTTCCTTCGACTTATTCGTCGTCGGGGACCAAGAAAACTGCCAACGACATCCTCCTCCGAGTCGCTACGGCTGATACTCAGCATGGGGGCATTGGGGCTCGATCCGTAGGGGCCACGAGGCACTATCTCGGCGTGGTGTGTGACAGGAGGACGAGGTCGACTGCTTTGATGAGACCGTTCGTCAAGGAACATCATAACATCACCTTTGGGTGAAAATGCCATAGATGAGGTAGACTGACGATCAATGACTTTGGGCGCATATGCGACATCGTTTTGCGCAAACAGTCCGTCTTGGCCAACTGTCCAAAGCATGTCCTGGTCTTGCCAGAGCAGAGTAGCCGGTGAAGCGTCGAATCTCTCGATTTCCTTATATGCCATGGTCGGCCGAGCCAGGTCCCAGATGTGTACTGCCGAAGTACCATACCGACGAGAGCTGCTATCATCGTAGGACACTGCTATTTGAGCTACGCGTTTGTTTTGCGCTGTGGCAGACCACAGGCCAGGTCGCCATGCGATAGTCCAGATAGGCGCAGGTGTTGTCACAGACCATTTCGGCTTCTGTCGTTTATCGGCTGAGCTCGAAAGATCCCACACATGGAGTTTCGTATCTCGACCAGCACTGATAAGGTGGTTTCCGTCTGGATGCCATGCGATAGAGGCGCAGGCCTTTTCGTGTGCATTGATCCTCAGCAAAGGTCTTGCTGGTTGGCGCACATCCCACTTGAGCACCACTCCGCCCTCAGTACAGCATGCCATCTCGTGTCCAACCTTTGGAGACCATTTGACTTGCCGGACCGAGTCGATACATTTTAACGGCGCGAATCGTTGCCGAAAGGTGATGCCGCCCGATCGTCCTTGGAGAGGTGCCGCAGTATCGAAAACGCGCGCCATGCCATCTTGGCTGCCTGAAAGAAGCCAGCTCTTGAGATGTGGATTGACATCGAGGGTATTAACCTGGCGCGAATCTTCCTGCATCTGCATGTATTCCAATGGCTCGGCCGCGCCAGATCCGACTCGTGCGACATCGTATGCGAAGATCTTGCCATTCGCGCAAGCCGTGAAGATTGTTGAACCACCATGCCATTTGACATCTCGAATGCTGAGCTGATCCGCTGCCTGGTTACCCTTCAGTCCAGCGGGCTGGGCAGTAATCGCAGCCCTCAAGTCCACGCCCTCGCGAAAGTTGAAGTTGAAGTTGTGGGGGTCATCGAGGACCACTGTCTTCAGGATATGTCCACCTGCCAGGACGGCGGCTCTTCGATCGGGGGAAACATCGAGGGCAAGTATTGGAACACCGGCTCTATACACGGCATCTTGCGACTTTGACGGTCGAAACGAGGCTGAGATTGTAGAAGCGGGCGCGCTTGTTATCGAGAGATTGGCTGAATCGCCTGCGGGGGTCTCGGTGGCAGCCTTGCCGAGGAGCTTGCGCATTATCCTTGAGTCGCGGTTATACATTGTTGCGGGGATCTGCGATAGCCGATTGCGACGCCATTGAGATCAACTCAACGGGCCATCGACGGCATTCTCGTTGTTCGGTGTAGAGCGTTAGATGCGGTATAGATCTCCCTGTTGAAAAGGGATATCTCTCATTGGTGTTTGGCTAACTATCGCCGCCCATCAACGTGAGCTCATGTGGATCCGAGGCTCGGCACAGTCACGTGGTACCCTAGACCTCAAACTATCGTGATAATATGAATTTAAAACAAATCAGATGGACACTTACATATTTATTATGTTTGAAAGGGCGCAGGAAGTTTTAGGGGATTTAATTCAGTAGCAAGTATGTTAGTCTGAACATGAAGGAAAGATTCGTTTGGCAATATTGTCAGGCAGTGCTGTGAAATGGGGAAACCATAAATCACTGCATGGTGAAGTCGCAGCTATAGAAACCCTTGACGATGCATACGTGTTTGTTTGGGAACAAAATATCGAGTTTCCAACTTAGATTTATATTTGACAGTTTGAATGCTACTATATTCACTGACAAACCCAACTGAATAACACATCTCTCGTCCGACGGGCACAATTGCCTTTCTTCCTCCCACCACCGAAACAAGATCTCAACACCATGAAAACTCCCTACACGAAAAGTACAACAGCTAGATAAGTCTCAAGCATGGCAGTGTATGATATGCCGCGACAAGCTTGTGACTAGGACTGCTGCACAAATGCATCGTCCTCCTCTCCCGTTCTCCTCATTCAGGACCAAAGGTGGGGAACTCCTCGAGGTTGGTAGGAACAGCATCGCTAGCAGTGGAAATGACCCCAGTAGCGGTGGTAGTAGCATCAGCGGTAGTGGTAACTCCTGGAACGGGTACAGGTGGAGGCACGGCAGGTGGTGCACCCCCAAGGCCCCCTAACCCGCCGAGGAGTGGACCAAGAAGACCGGTGACGGCATCAAGTTGTCGCTTGTTCAGGCGATCGGACCTGAGTCCTCCAAGAAGGCCCGTCAGAGCATCGAGCTGTCTTTTGTTCATGGGTACGGGTTTCAATCCTCCCAGAAGTCCAGTCAGGGCATCGAGTTGTCTCTTGTCCAGACCACTAATGGGGCCGGCGGGATCTGGCTGTTGACTTCCGTCCGTGGAACCGAAAGGGTCGACAGTCGGGACTCCGAAGGCCGTGGTGCTGGTAGCAGTGGTTTCGACGAAAGCATCGGTGGTAGAAGCCTCAGAGTCTTCACCGTTGCCCAAGTCAATGATCTGGATTACGGATCGGGGAAGGGTCTGACGTTTCTCCAGGCCAACGGCGCCTTCAACGGAACGAGCTACTTCATTCTGCTCAGCGTTCAAGGGAGCAGCCAAAGTGCTGCCGAAAAGCAATGCAAGAGTAAGGAATGACTGCATTTTGAAGTAATTGCAAGATTGCGTTGTAATGAGTGGAAAAGGAGTGTGTTTGAAGATGATAGAGAATACTCAAGACTGGCTGGTAAGTCTTCCAGTTTTTATATCTAGACAATACGGCGGAGCATTCAGCTCCAGGTACGCAAAGACTGAGCGAGTAGGACAGGGGCCCTTTGCAAGTCTAGTGGAATGAAATATTATACATGATGATCCCAAGCGCTGATCCTCTCATCTCTGTCAAAAGTAAATATTGAAAGAACTGAGGGGGAGGGGGAATGTGAACTACAACATGTTATGCAAGTTTGCATTGCCAATATACTATCACAGTCAAAGGGGGGATTTTACAATGGAAGATCGTCAGTACTGCGTAACTAGCAGCACATTTCGCAGACCACATACGGCAAATCAAGGGAGGAATTCATTTACTTGGTAGCAAGTAGGGATTGTTGTTAATTAAAGTAAATTGCACTTACCGAGTTATTCAAGAGACTATTGACATTCCAAATTTTAAAAAATAATAAAGATGCAGCATAATAAAGCTTGAGAGTGAGGAACTCGTTCAGAAACAGTGACTTACATGGAGATCAGTGACGTTGAGAAACACGGCAGACAGTCGGACCGATCTAAAGGGAGTGCCGCGCAAACGTTTCAAAGCGTCTCAGGCACCCTTATTAGAGTTGTTCTAACTACCTTATTGTGTACAAGTTCCTGGTTTATGTCAGACACGGCAGATTCTCCCTCTCCTCGGCAGACAGCAGCCGCTTGCCCGTTCTAGCAAGCGTGCAAAGTAATCAAGCTAAGAATTGTATCTATATTATATCTGATCATTCCAGTCAATCGGTCCCTGCATCCAATGTGGTACAGAGATTAAATGCTGCTCATCGAGAGTCATCATGGGGCTACCTATATGGCTGGGAACAGATATTCCCTTGCCAACCTGAAGAATTTGCCTTGAACACAATGCCATTGAGAATTTGAGAGACTTTTTAAATTATAATACAGTAGCCTTTGGACTTGTTACTGGAGCCTGCGTCATCATAATGATCATAATAACAGCCACTTTAAACTTTGACAATACAAATAGTCTCGCCTTTGTCAAATTGTACCCGTGGCGCTGTAAACTCGTCTCAAATTCATCTTTGCAAGCCGTTCCCTTGCCCAAAGGTGATTAGCCCTTTGCAACATAATTGTAAGTGGAGATCTAAAACTCATTCTGGACCAAGCCAACGTCTTGACTCAAGCCTGGCAATCTGTTCAACCCCCTGGTCCCAACACTCACGTCCCATCATTTATACACGCACTTACTCAAATATTCGTCACTAATAATTCGGTGTCTTAGCCATACATGGCCATGGCAGACATGTCGTCCTACTCAACAGTTTCAGAATCTCGGAGTGTGGGCCGGCCATTAACAGATGCCTTCGTCGACCTTTATTTCATGAACTACATCACCACCATAGCGGCTGACGCAGTGCCTTATTTGCACCAAAGACCAGAATACTCCGCAAATACATGTAGCTTCATTGCAAAAGGTCCGGCAACAGACACTCTGCCCTGCTTGTCGTCCTTTGTCCGCACTCTCGTGATAACATTCAAGTTACCTAGAGCCGTTATGATTGCGTCTGCGATATATCTTGGTCGTTGGCGTCTTCGACATCCTGGAGCATCTGGACCCGACCCCAGTGCTCCATATTGCTTAGTCCTGGCATCTATGATCATAGCCGTCAAGCATCTGTACGATGATCCTCCGCCTAATGCTCGATGGGTGAGGTTTCTGAAGAAGAGTGGTATTCACTATTTCACCTTGGAGAACGTCAACGCGATGGAAATTGAGATGCTGTACGACCTGAGGTGGAATGTCAATATGTCTTCTGCAGATGTACACAGAGTTTCGGAGCCTGTCCTCTTTGTGCTTGGGAGCGAACTGCTTAACTATGCCCAACAGTATTAGTCATAGGCAGGACATACCGACAAACTTAGTTGAAGGTATTAATCTCTTATAAATAGATGCATGATATCAAAGTTTGGTGTAGTATTCCAGTCATGAGTTAGATGTGTTATTTACGATTGAGATCCGTGGCTAAGAGCGGAAATGAGTAGAGACCTTGTAGCGAAGTTGTTACTCAGGGCGTCCCAGGGGAGACATCCGCAGCATCTTGATATCAACCTAACTCTTTCTGCTTCATGATGCTATGAATTGCATAGAAGAACACGAGGAGGGTGGGATTGGCTGTAATAAGATCAATATTGCTGGTAGGAGTGCTTGACCGTGACAAATGAAGAAACCGGGTATTCACATGTGACAATGATGTTTGAATGCCGCGAAATGATATGATTGAGTGCTAATTCTAAATTATGGCCCTTGCCGATGATTAAATTACACCTGGCAGACCTATGAGGCCTGTCGTAAGATGCATACCATCAACAGCACATTTTCTCATCCCCAATTACCCCACAAAGCAATGATAAATACAAAATTCAGGCAATTGAACTTGACGGTCGCCCGAGAACACGAAGGTAAAGACTGTGAGTCGCCAAACTGGCATGATTGTAACCCGATGTAAAGATCATGGTAAAGATACCGAAGGACTCCAAACTCTGGGCCATGAATAATGGTCAGAAGCTCTTAGATAAGGCTGCTGAGAGCAATGCAAGGAAGGGCGACGTTGACGAGACCACCGGTGGCCTAAATTCATGATGTTAGAAGAAGCTTTTCACAGGGAGATCAGAGAACACTTACGCTGCCGCCGCTGTTCTGACAACAGGCGGCGTTTGCCTGGCATTCCTTGTTAAGGAGGCCATTAGCAATAGCCAGAACATTAACATCAAGCTTGGAGCACTGATCAAACAGGCTCAGGTTATTAAGGATACCAGCACCGTTGCCAACAGCGTTGCCGGCAGGAGTGTTGGTGACCTTGTTGCAGCAAGTGACCTGCATGTTGTTTCCGCAAGCATTGTTGGCCTGGGCGACAGTTATCTGATCAATGGAAGGGTACGCCCTGATCTGAGGACCAGCGGCCACGGTGGCGGCGAGGAAAGCGACGATGGTCATGTACTGCATCTTGAAGGGTTGGGGTTGTCGAAGACAGAAGATACTAAAGAAGGGCTTTGTGGGTTTGTGGGGTGATGGGATGGGAAGTAGTAAATGAAAATTGAACGAAGGCGGAGAGATGCTGATGAGAGAAGATTTTGGTTCGGGGGGTTACATTGTAGTCTTTATATCTGGATTACAGTCGATTTTAGGTCAAGGGAGTCTGCTGCGCAGGAACGCGTTAGTGCAATCTCCCTCATTTCTTTGATGCCCGGAATAGTTTGTCATTCTCTTCGGGATCGGCATTGTCCTGCTACGCATATGTCGCTGAGACAGATTCTCAGGAAAAGTAAGCTAGTAGTTCTTGGATCATTTGCTTGTTTTGATATCCAGACTACCTGGCTCCCTCCCTTAGATCCGGCGTGAACACGAAGCATCGCATAGTGGTATGAAAGAGGTTGGATGAACCAACAATCTCTTGGCTGTTGAGCTACCCTCTACGGGCGAACTTTGATAGGAGGTGTTAAAATAAACTCATTAAAACTTATCATAAGCTTAGCCTATTTTATCTAGGTCTTCGTGTTACTTAGGATCGAGGTCCTGTGTTTTCGTTATTCCGCTGGGCAACTTATTCGCGTACCTAGGTCAGTACAGTACCAAGATCCAATATCCTGCAGTCTTGCCTCATGTGATTGGCTGCCGTATCAGACTAAAACAGGTCTACCAAGTTCCTGGCACAGAACCGACTGCAAGGGATAATCAGCACGAGGAGTTCACTTTGCCATGTTCCCCATTTGGAAATTCGGTCCTTTTTCTGCCTCAGACACGGCACATGAGAAACACGGCTCATAAGAAACACGGCACATTAAATGAAACACGGCTTAAGTCACTGGTAAGACCTTTCTTAAGCAAGAGGAACCACTGGAATACCCCACACAATAAAGCCCGAACGTCGATCCACTTCAGCCCTAACTCCCCAATAGACTGAAGTACGCTTACGGATCTGGGGTAAAAGGCTGTCTAAGCCCTTGCATATCAACACCGGGATTTTTGTTTCCGCTCTTGTTAGCGTGGCTCCCATCGGGACTTTGATATCATCGTCGATCCATCGTCATAACTATTCCCCTCACATTCTGCTAGTACCCCCTTGACCGGTTCGAGTTTGCTAGAAACAACAAGATAGTCAGAGACTACACCGATGACTTACCATCATTCTGCAACTGAGGAATGGATGTTCCGGCGATGCCCCTTGCAGCCTCCTTTTAATTGCAGAGGATACGAACTGGGTGGTGAGAATGAATTGGCAAACAGCGCCGCCAAGTTCCATAGTCCGCCTTCAAGATATTCTCACGATGTTCTACCAACAGCTGGTATGCCCTTTCGGGCCGTTAATGGCGTTGTTGTAGTGAAAGATTCACGGCAATCGTATTACTGCTAATATAAAGATTGGTACTATTGAGACGAGAGACGTAAGACGTGCTTCTATGACAGTTGTTTAGTCAAGAAGCCACTGGTTGCGATGCTTGAAATACCAGCATTTAGACTAAAAGCAGCCCGGCCCAGCTGCTCATCGAGATGGCCTTTCTGAATACACATGGACTCTGCCAACAGCAAGTAGATCCTCGGCGGGTTGATCATCTCCATTACCAATCTTTCCCCTCTGTGCATCAACCACCCGCCCACATGATAGAAGTCTATACGAGGTGTCAATTTCATGCGTACCTTCACTTGCGTCACTCTTATACCATACACAAGTTGTCTCAGTCTGCGAAGAGAGGTTGCTCTTCTCAGTATATCTCGGGTTGCATTTAGTAACTCGTGTTATCCAAGCCGTAACCCTCGTATTGTAATTGAGCATCCAATGTTGAGCTTGCTTTTGTGATATTGTAGCAATTGTTCAGCCATGATGGTATATGTCTAATTTGTGGGCTAATAAGTGTATTGTTTGCACTTGAGACTTATGACTAAGAGTCTAAGTCAGCGCAGAGAACTTGGCTTTCGTGATATCTGATGTTTAGGGTAGACTTTTTAATATGATATTAACAATTGGCGATTTACAGCAAATGCTTAATTGATGTATACCATGAGCTTCATATCACGTATTTCTAGGTTTTAACTTATTGTTTTATTTACCTGTGCTTATTTTAAGAAAGTGTAACATAGCTGAAAACTATTTCCCTCTGTTCACTTTTGAGTTCAATGCGCATTAGTTAGTGACGTTACAGCGTGATGTCGGCGCCGGCATTAGATTGAATATCCACTTTTCGAGGTACACATGCCCGCTGCAAGTCATCCGTGACGAGTTTCAAAGTATCTATAGTAGCTAAAACAAGCCAATCCCGTAACCATCATGTTTCGTCTATCCATGGTCGAACGGAAGAAAAGCTCCTGGAATAGTTACTACTCATAAAAGTGAAGATCAAGCATCGCCGATGGCTCACTCTAAAGGAGACGATTTCACAGCAGTGAAATCGTGATATTGGAGGGCAGCACGTTCATCCAGCCACCCGCAGAAATCTAATGCTATCTCAAAAGCAAGTTTTCTAACGTAGATGAAGATAAGTGTGACACTCCCGTAGGCAAGACACGGGACAGCAATCACGTCAGTTTGGTACTCTACGGAGCAAAAAAGAGCGCCCAAATGTCTCTCATAAGGACGAGATCTAGAATCCAAGACGAAAGCATCTAGATCGATCTCGCGATATGAGGTCGAGATTTAATAGTCAGCCAATCGTCAAACATAGAACTCTGTGTTCACTCAACCCTACAGCGGGGCTTGCATTCCAGGCGATCTCCTTGCAGTTGTGATAAGCCAATAGGGTATAGCTGGTAGACGAAACGGTCAGCCGCACATCCAAACAATCTAGCCCCAGGCGGCGGCGACTGAAGACGAAAGCGGTCAATGATAAAATTGCCTTGCAGAAGAAAGATACCGCCAACTTCATAACCTTGAAGCCAGGTTCGGCTTTTGGACATGTTAGCTGATCTTATAAAGAATAACTACGCCCGCCACCTTGAAGTCTCCTACCTTTGTATTCACAATTCAGCAATGCACTACGATCGTTTCTGGAACATCCAAGACTCTCTTTGAAACATTAGGCGGACGCTTGTTCCCTTCCCCTCTTTTTCTTTTACAGGCTCAGAAGCTTGCTGATATCATTTCATCCTTTTTGTTCATATCAAAGCTTAGCTAAGCTTGTTCTACATATTACCCTCGGAAATACCATTGGATCAACTGGGACCTCGATATGGCATTGGCATTTCAATCACATAAGCCATTACGTAGCTGGCCCACCACAAATTTTCAGGCCCAGAAATACCAGAGTCAAAAGCCACAGAGTCCTTACTGCCCTCACTACAGCTCTGCTCACGAACCATCGCTTCAAGACTCCCAGCCACGACCAGTATCAGCTTCATCGTGCTATTCTGTACCCGAGACACTCCCAAAGAGAAATCTAAAGATAGAAGCTGCTTCTCAGCTTCGATCTTTTTCTTCTGCTTCAGGTCGCATTCTACGACCTCCGCTTCAACTACATCAACGGCCTTTCTTGTCTTCAGAGAACATTCGACCAGCCAGGCCTACTCCCGTCCGGAGAAGCCAGTCTGATCCTGTCAAAGATTGCAGTCTTGAGCCTCCTCCTGTTCCTCCGAAAGATGATGTTATAACTCATCCCCAACAAGGGCATGGCCTGTGTGTTTCCGGCGATAGTGATTTCGAACCAGACAAACGCAACACCTTTGGATATACGGAACATCCCACTACGTATACTTCTTACTGGTCTGACCCTAGCTGCAGTGAGAGTGGGAGCAGTACAGATGATGAAGAAGAGTCCACGGATGCCGGAGAAACTGACTTCGAAACATCTGATATTGAGGACAGCTTGTTACACCTTTCCGTCATTCAGGCTCAGCGTCTTTCTTTACACACTTGGATTCTGAATCCTACAACAGCTGATATCGATGATAAGCCGGGATCCAAGTTGAACTGGAGAAGCCGAATTGGATACAGAAATATCGCCGGGCCTCATCACTCGAAGGAAACAAAACGTTGGGGGATAATATTTTAGTTTATTCTATTTTACAGCTACTACCTATTAATTTGAAGACCACCTACTGAAACATGATGTCCAATATCGCGACTTGTCTCAGCATCTTGAGTTACGTGATGAAGCAAGTAAACATGTTGGATGGATGTAGTCAAACTCTTGACTCAACTCAATTAGCATGTGCTAATGTCAATAGGATAAGCTCCCGAAGGATATGATCCAGCTAAATGGTCCGTTGTACACAAGTAGTTGATAAACTTATACTACAAAAACGCCCAGCACTTATACATAACGCTTGATTTCGGGAATCGAAACAATATCGAAACTGACTTGACTGCCAAAGGTTCTAGGCCTCAGAGAGCCCGGTCATGCCTGGAGCTTTGTTTAGCCCCCTGTCTTGTTTGAAGAGAATAGCAATCTCGACATAAAGTCTGCTGCTGTTGTGATAGGCGAGCAGTAAATCTAGTGCAATTGCCACATCTCGCTAGAAGACCGACGGGCTATTGACCGTTAGACATGTCCTGGCTCCCTGGAATATCGACTTACGAGTTCTAGCTTTGGAACCTCTGTCGACGCAATCATCGGTCTCGTCGCAGACAAACCGATCATGTGCTGTTGAGAAGGTCCAGGACCTGATTGAGTTCTTAGAGAGGATTGCAGTGAGTTGACTTGCTGCAGTAATTGCTTCACTATCTCCTGATTTCTAAGCATTTCGTTGATATCCTCCTCTTTAGGTAGCCTGGCTAGATTCACCTGTGTGAGGTACTGTTTCAAGGCAATTCTCCGGTTTGCCTCGGCAAAATTGGAGATAGCATGGGAACGCGACATGATCTAATCAGAATTAATAGAATTGAAGAAAGCGGTGATATGATATCTGCCTTACCTGAGCGAGCATCTCTCTATAGGTCTTGTTCCCAGGGTACCGTTCCAAAACATCTTTGTGTCGGGCTTGAGCAGCTGGATTGAGAATGAGGGCGCGTGCGTGAAGATCTGATAACCCTGTCGAGGAATGATGAAGACGACGGGGTAAGTTAAAATCGGGGTGAATAGGTTGGGGAAGAGAAGCTCTCTCTTGCTTGGTGGGTGTTGGTCCATGGGATGTAGATGCTGATGGAGATCGTGATTCACGATGGCTGAGAAGTAGATGAGGTGGGAGAATCTCCGATAGAGACGGTGGTTTTCGATGGTTTGAGGGACCCGAATCGTCTGAAGATCGTGATGATTTCATTGTGCAGGACTATTAAAACCTGTTGGTGTGATGAGAACTCTTCGGGTGAACGGAGAGGCGCGGAAATGTAGCCGTGTCAACTGCCGGGGTGATATAGATACCGAATGGATCTACCGCTGAAGCCTCAAAACAGTTGGTGGCGTTGGGGGAGTCTGCTCACATTCCGCCTCATGCCAGGAGAGAAAGTTCCGGGGCGGAATCCCAGGTGATCGATCATTGCTTGGTATTTGACGCAGGCATAAAGATCGACGCGGCACATAAAGCCTGAGCGACTTATGCGTTGGCTAAACTAAAGTGACATCCCGTGCTCACAGACGACAGAGTAAGACATGTTTCAGAAAGTAGCTGGTCGCTCAATGTCTCAGAGACTGCAGCATCTGCTAGTACCAAGACGCTTTCCTCCCTCGAACTAGTTAGCAAAGATCCGAGAGCCGGTGTTATGTCTACGGCTGGACCCACTGATACGGGACTCGAGAGGTGCCGGTTACCTGGTAAGACTCATTAGTAAGCGTAGATCAGAAGCTTAGCTCCTGGGACAAGAATGATATGTCAATGTCCCACCATACATAGAATACCATGGCTACAATTTGGGCCAGAACAGAGCAAGACGATGTATCAAGAAGATGTGAATGTTAGAATGTCTGTGATAATCAAATATAGAAGAGAGGGCCAGGGTTGCACAAGGATCAAAAAAGGACAGAAGGAAGTTAAAAATACAATCAAAGTTAAATACACTAAGCTGATGTGACGATCCGTCGACTGAACCTTTCTTAACTATTACAATGAACTCCATACATACAGTCTTGCCATTATCCATAACTCATTATCGTTCCAAACGCTATAATAAGCGCCATATCATACAGTCTTTTACCTTCCTATAATACTGGTACTTGTACCGAAGAATCTAGCTCATAGTCTGGGCGTTCCTAATCATCATTCCCAGAATGAATCAAAGGTATAACCGTTATAAGGCAATGACTGGCTGCGACCCTGTGCTGCCAGGCTGATCTGCAAAGGAAGTGGCTGGTTGGTGCTGGGGGAAGGGCTCGACTGAAAATCAAAGAGAGCCTCCCCGCCAACGTGGACCATATTGCCGATATTCACGGTCTCAGGTAACCCGGACAGGGACCGAATTGGCAGTGCATAGGAGTTTGAGCCCCATGGAAAGTTGAGATCTGGTTGAGATAGAGGGTTTGCGTGTTGTGGAATTGATGAAGTTGATGGGATTGACATATCCACAGATGTTGGGAACTGTGAGATAGCAGGCACTTCTGAGAGCTGCCCTCTTTGGGATGAGTCGAAGTCGACTGCGTTTGCATTTGAAACTTGCCCCATGACTGCAGGATCCCATTCTGGAAGACTTTGGCTTCTCATGTTGAGATTCACCTGGCCTTCTACTGTTGATACTAGAGAATAGCGGTGTTAGTAATGACCGAATCGAAGAGCTGTATCACTGAAGCTGAACTAACCTCTCATTCCAGATCCAAAGCCGTCTACCCACGGGATGCCATTACCAATGGGGGCTACTGAAGCTGTAGGCCTCGTTTTGGATGAATCCAACGGTGGCTTTTGCATGTCTAGATATTGCTCCATGCTGGCAGAAGTCTGTGCTAGATCATATGCGTCTGAGCTCTCATCGGTAGAAGGAGAGAACCTGGCTACTCGAATGAGATCAGAGCCATCAGCAGACGACCGGCCCGTGAGGTAAGAGCTGCACTCTTTCTTCAAACGGACGCAGCTGACGCAACGAGCTTGAGCGTCGGAAGAAGAGGCGATGCACCTTATCTTGCGATGCCTGCATTGTTCTGGGGAAATGTTAGATGGATGAGCGTACAGACCAAAAGCCAGAGGAGGGGAACCTTGCTTACTGCACGCTGATGAAGCTCGCTTGTAGCCGAGCTTGGGCCTCGTATTTGATTTTGGTTCCTCATCTTCCTCTAGATCTTGCTGCATATCCATTTGATACTGAATCATGCCTGGGACTTGGCAGGTATCGTATGGACTTAATTGAAAGTTGTCATGTGAAGATTGAGCATTCTGGCCACCTAGCATATTTGGCGTATCAAGCTGATACGTGCTGAAGGAATCAAACGACATGATGGAGTGAAAGCCGGTCAAGCTGACAGGCATGGATGCCGGGTACTTTGGCAGAAGTGTGAAAGCTTGATTGTCGATCGAAGTGTAAGTTTTTAAGTAGGTGGGGG